AGCTTCATGCAATGGGACCGAGCTCCCAACCTTTCGAGTCCACGGAGGGACAGGGCCATGGAAAGATTTCATTGCATGTAGTATGCGCATACATTGTCAGGTAAGCATTTTGTGAGGAAAATGAGGAGAGGAGAAGCCACGTAGGCAGTAAAAATGACGGAGCCTCTGGTGAGAGCTTCGCTACAGCGAACGTCAACCCATGACATACCCGGGTTGATGATCGTATGAAGGATAATGAATGGTACTAAGGAATATATTATGCAGATATAGTGCTAGCCGTAAGAAAATAATCACATTCGCTGAAACGATGACAATAAACTCTGTATTCCCCCCGATGTCCTCTGCGGCATTATGTATCTTGTATGCATCCGACACAACTGCAACATCGTCTGCACCTCCTGAGGCACTGCCGCTCCGTTCTCACGACATCCCTCCACAACCCGCTCGTAGTAGCTCTGCGCCTCAACATGTTTCTGCGCCTCCATGTGCAATTTCCCCAACATAGCCAGCGTGCTCTGCACCTCGGGACAGCCCTTCCCCATTCGATTCTCCGCCCATGTCAAGTATCTGCTCAACCACGGCGTGGCCAACTGCGTGTTCGACTGGCCGGGCGTGCCATACAGCCCAGCCACGCTGCGTCCCTGCGACGCATACATCACACCCATCAGTGCCACGATGCTCATTGTCTCCGGATGATCTGCGCCCAGCTCCTCCTCAGCATTTGCTAGCCCACGTCGGAACGTCTCCGACGCTGCCGTAATCCCGTCCGGATCGAGCATCTGACTCCCACCCTGTAGCCTCAATGCCCGAATAGCGAGTGGATGGCGCGGACCGAGCAGGTCAGTCAGCTCGCGTGCAATATGCGTAGCCCCTTGCGCCAGCTGATCTACCTCCCCGCTGAACCGCATGACCATCAACGCTCTCGTATCATGCGACCGCATTGAGAGCATATGGTCGGCCGTATCAAGAATAGAAGCATACACGCGTATATGGTTAGGTCCCAGTAACTCCCGCAGCCGTTCAGTAACCCTCTCCGATGTCTGAACAGCTTCTTGTCGTCGCTCGACAGCACCGTACGCGATCGCCAATCTCCGTCGCGTGTCGAGAGTGTCCAGATCATCTTCCCCGATGGTCATCTGCTGACGGGCTAGGACATTCGCGCATACCGACTCGCCTTCCTGGCCTTTTCCCTGATGGCAGAGGATTTCACCCATGAGACTTTCAGCCTTCATAGCGAGCGGGTGACGCTTATCGAAGACGCGTTGGCTGTTAGATGAGACCCAGCTCGCCCATTCAGCGGCTTTGGACAGGTATCCGGACTCGAGGTCAATCGAGGCGAGATGGTACCCTATCTCGAGCGTGCTGTGGTGGTCTGGTCCGATGGTGCGCATGTGTTCGTTGAAGATGTCATATTCGAGTTTGCGGGCTTCATCCCAGCGATAGTTGTTCTTCAGCTCGGCAGCCTTGATCGAGCGAGGATCATTGTCGACGGGGGTGAAGAGAGTGCCGATGACGCGTTTGGTGGTGGCCTGGGGTGTGGGTGCGGCGGGATATGGGATGCTGCTGTTTCCTGGCAGGCGCGGAGGGAGAGGGGGGGCTGGATGAGGTGATACAGAAGGTTGTGGGATGTATCCTTGTTCTGTGATGAGAACTTGATCGGCGATTTGCTTGATGTTGCCTTTGATCATTTTGTACATCGGGCCCCGACTGCCCACTTTGCACATTTGAGAGTGGTCAGCGTCCAGCTTCAGTCGGGTTTCGCGTTGGCCGGGGAGTCCGAGGACAGCTGATTCCTCGTCGACTACCAACTGTATGCTGTCAGGGTAAGATATAAAGAGCGAAGCTGGTATATGCTTACATGGCTAACAGACGCCGGTCCAGCACCGCCCAAGAAGACCTCTTTCCCCTCCACGAAACTGATCACGCGATAGTCTTCCAGCTGGTGCGAGAACCGACTCGTCATCTGGCGGGTGAAGAGCGAGTTGTGCTCAAGACAATCGAGCAGATCATTACTGGCGTGTCCTTTGGCGACGAACCGCGCTACCTTTGCTGCGATCTTGCCGAGCTCGACACCTTTGGTACCTCGATGTGGACAGCCAAAGAAGACAAGACCAGAGGTATTGTTGCGGATTGAATTGTACTTGGGGTCTTCGTGTGCATTCAGCAGTGCCTAGCTGATCAGCTCTAGCTCTTTGATCCACCAGCAGTGGTGTCACCCTACCTGCTTGATGACCAGTCCGCCCAAACTATGACCTATAAATATAATCTTCGTCGGTCGCACATTCTATTCCTCGTCAGATGACATTCCTCTCCCCAATGTCCAGACAGCAGAACATACCAACTGTGGACTCCGCTCCAAGTCCAACAAATTCAGCAATGTATTGGCATGGTCTTTGACGCTAGCAGTGGACATGCTCTGGGGGTTCGTAATCGTGGAATTATACCCATAAACAAAGATGCGTGCCTGGGGAATATCCTGAGGGAGGTAGTCCCGCGGCCAGAAGATGCCGTTCTCGTGCGTCCATGTTTCGAAGGGATGGTTATCTTTGCCTCGAGGGTTTAGGCCGTGAACGAAGACGAAGCTGCGAGGTTAGGCAGGTTGGCCTTAGCTTGTTTCAGGTGCTGGACTTACTCTATCTTGGGCTGCTCCGCAGAGTAGACCTCTTCAAGGAACGGAAACTCATGTCGGGAGGCAGCCTCCATCGCTGGGTAGGGATACTCTTCTATCTATTGAATGCTGCTGTTATCTGGATACTATGTGGTTAGGGTGAAGGAGAGGTGAGGGTGAACACTTCCCGCCGACGAGCGGGTGCACCTCATTTGATGAATGATTGCCAGACTAGAGCCTTGTATCTCCAGCCAATCGGCTATTATTGCCCCAGACATATCTGGATACGATGTCAGGAACGTGAGGTGTGCAGCCTGTTCCTGAAAGTAGTGCAACCACGCGAAGTGAGGCGCCGGTCATGCCGAGGACGAGGTCAGTCATGCCTGTCGTGCCCTCCGATAGGGTAGGAATACGAGATGCTCATGCAGCTTAGTCTTGGCTCAAGCACAGCCCGTGCCTCCGTCATTCAGGGTCGTTGTCTATCATGTCAATAGAAAGGGTCGTGTATGTACATATGATCATCAAACGCCGAGCGAATGCGATGCTTGAAAGTCCACACCAAGCCTGATCTGCCCCGGGTATCCTACCAAGCACCGACGATACCTGCGATGGGAATGTCAATGCCGGTGGTGTACGAGCTGCTATCGCTGAGCAGATACACGTAAGCACCTCCCAACTCGCGAGGGTCGGCCAGCCGAGGCATTCCTCCATAGTATTCCATCTTTGTATCCCAGTCGGGGGCGGTTTCCACGTAGTAGGTCATGGCGGTGCGAACAAAACCCGGGGAAATGCTGTTCACGCGGATGCCGTGTTTGCTCCACTCCATCGCCAAGGTGTGACACATGTTGCGCACTATAGAATATTCAGTTAGTCTAATACCAACAAGGTTGAGGAAGAGTAAGACTACTTACCTGCGGCTTTAGTAGCGCCATAGGGAGCGGACGGGGCAGCCTAGGATCACTTAGCACCACACTCATCCCCCGAGTGGAGAAAGAATACATACGCGATTCGGACGATAAGAAGTCATACTAGCAGTCATAACGATAGACCCCTTGATCCCCAGCTCGATAAACTTCCGAGCGACAATCTGCGCGCAGAAATATGCGCCGAAAACCTGCTGCCCGTAAGCACCCGCGCGCTGCAGCATGCACAACGCGACCAAACCAAGCCGGACGTCCACTCACATTAAGGTTGAACATGCGCTCCAATTCCGGGCGCTCGAATTTGAGCGCCGGTTGATGTTTGGTCATTCCCGCATTAGCCACCAGCCCATCAATGCGTCCGGTTTCCTCCACGATCTGATTCACGGCCTTTTCGATGCTCTCCTCGGAGGTCACGTCGGTCTGGATATATCGGAAATTCGGGTAGCGGGTCTGAAGGGCAATGGTCTCTTCTCCGGGCTCCATGAGATCCATTGAATAGACGAACTTCGCAGAATTGGCTAGACACACTTCGGCAATGCCGAGGCCGATGCCGCGGTTGGCACCGGTGATGGCAATGACCTTTTGCGCGAGGGTGATCTGCCAGCTGAAGGTCGAGTCGGGCATGGTGTTTACGAAGGGTGTGGAGGTGCCATTCTTGGCTTCGGCGGCGGAGGCAGTATCTGTGGAAGTTGGGGACATTGTGATGAGGAGGTAAGGGGTGCAGAGTAGTGGTTTGAGAGCAGTGTTTGGAGGCAATGTCTGGCTGAATTTGGGGTGTTTCTGCCCTTTAAGCATCCCCCGCGATCGCAAGTGTTCGGCTCGAGGTCAATGGCATCGCGATCGGACTTTACGTCACATTCCCTAACAAATTGGTGCGGATGGACTCCGATTGCCCTCTGGTTGTGCGGGGGTTAACTCCGATACCCCACGGTCGGCGATCGGCCAGCCCTGCGATCGACTGCCTCGACTCGAGGCACTCGCTGGACAACTCATCCACTCTTGACAGCTGATAGATTAAACAGGCATACCCTGGGTGAAACAGTCCGATATCGCGGGCAGTCCGTGCATCGTAGATGGGCTGATTGTTTCGGATGCTTTGTCGGAAGTGAAAGTAGTTTTCCGAAATGTATTGTTACCGAGTACAGTAGTGCTAGTAATTGTTATGCTGTTATCCAGTAAGGCTCATTCCTTCATTTCTTCGTTTTGTAATACAACTATGATTATGAACATATACTCAATTATAAGGTTTCCACAGACGTTTCGAGGCATATCTTTATGCCTGGAATTGCCGTGGTGATCTCGCCGTGATCGCACGGCTGACTGTCGCGTGGGAGTAAATGCAAGGCAATAACAAAGCTGACAGCCGTGCGTAACTAATAGTTGTGGCACCTAAGATGCATCCATGGGATGATGCCAGTTTTCCCCTAAGTACTAGCAGAACCCGAGCACATCTGCTGAGATACCCAGTTCTATGCTGTGACACCAGAAAGGCCATCCTTGCGGTATTCTGCTTCGAGGTCGTTGCGTAATGAGTATCTAGGCCAACAGACTCTGCTCTCGAAGACGTCGATTAATTCAAGCAACGCTGCCCGCTCATGAGGGGTATGGACGCTCATGCCAGCTGCAAAAAGGTCAGCAAAAATCATACCAGGACAACGCAGATCATCTTACCCCCATATATACAATACAAAGACATGAGGCTGGCAGCAAGATCATCCTCACGTATAGTTCGAGCAATTCCACATATTGTGTTCACTGACGTAGTAAGCATCTTTTGGGCAGCCCGGTAGTCTTGGAAACCGTTCACCGTCGGACGATGTGATAACACCAGAATTCGGGCTAAGCTGTGTATTTGCAATGCCGCTGCGTATGGGGGCGGATGGACCCAAATAGGCGGAAAGACGGTCGCGTCCTGCTCACACGGGAGTGGATTGAACTCCGGCGGCAGATAATCCTGCCATTCCTGCAACATATAGAGCAGCTCATTCCCCCTCTCCAAGCGACTCTGTATGTCTTTAGATGCTGCCTCTTCGCGTGAGGCATAGTTGACGCATTGTCCCAGGATGTATGAAACGAAACTGGCCAGCTCCGGGGGAGACAGCGAGGAGATGTGTCGCTTAGGCTTCCAGAAGCTGAAGATTCGCCGACGCTCCCGCATGGCTACCCAGGCGTCCTGCCGTAACCATGCCCACCAGATGGCTTGACGCAAACCCCCACATTCTCCGTCGTTGTTTTGGTATCTTTGAATCCAGAATACCCCTTTCAGATGCCGCTCCCAGTCTCGATTAGATCCATCCACCATTTCGTATGTGCTGATCAGAAGCGACGTGCTAATGATCTCGTGGCTGTATGCGTAGCTGGGATACTGCATAGCCTTATTGAGATACTGTAGGGTCTCGTAGTAATACTGGACCGCAATGTTGCGATCGACATCCGGGAAATCCATCATTCTTCTTCCATCTTCCCGGTATGGAATAACTCCCGAACCTTTGTAGGTATGCCAGATGGAAAGATGGCGTGCTGAGAGGGCCAGAAGGGCCTTCATTACACCTATATTTCTCATGGCCAAATGTGGGACCTTGCTTGAAATTTGTTGCGTTGGGTCGAAGAAATCATACCAACCTGACATATTCCGGACAAAGTGTTTGAACATGAGGTGTTCTTGTTGGGTTAACTGAATGGGCGCGGAAGTACTCCAAGAAGACGGGTCATCGGGAAGCTTTGGGTGGCCATCGGCTGCAGGCGAAATCCTGTTCTCGATACCTGGATCACGATCAAAAGAAGCTGCTTGGAAGCTTTGACACTCCCTAGCATTATGAGGTTGAAGGTTTGCGACCGACAGATGGGTTGTGGATCCCTGGCAAGCAGGGTTGACATCTCGATGCGGTGATGATAGGAAAAAGTTTCGGTCCGCATTCACGGCATCATTGGCCAGAAGCTCGAACCAACTCAAGGGCGCAAGTCTGGTCGATACCGAGGAGTCCGTAGCTGGAGAGGGTGTGAAGTCGTGAATCGAGGCTGACGGAGAGACATGGCTGTGTTGATGTAGACCAACATGCGGCGTTGCACTGCTGTGCTGCCCTCTTGGAGATGCCGTAGCCGACGCTCGGTGAGCGGAAGCGTCTTCATGCTCGCAGACATCTACCAAAACTCGCAGGGGCTCGTGTAGCTGCACCTGTGGAGTCAACTGTGATGGAGGAGAGGAGTGCGATGCAATGGGTGTTTGTCTATCCTCTATATTGGGAGTTCCGGACTCATAGCTGCTCCCATAGACACAGTCACGTTGGCCTTTAGCACAAGGGCCGCATTGTGGGCGAGCCTGCGTCGGAGTCAGAAGGAAGAATTTTTCGAAGAGAAGCTTTTGCCGAGCCGTCGTACCTCATCACATTTGACATGCCGGCGTTTGCAAATCAGGCTATGGCAGTCAGAGGGTCTGTCCAGCAGAAGGAATACTAGCAATAAAAGAAACTCGGAAGATAGGTCGACTAACCAGCCAGTAGTGGCCCGCAATCCACGGCCGCGGGATTTGCGAGGTTTCCGAACGCCACGCGAGGTCCCCTGCGTAACATCGGCCATTGTGCCTCACATCATCCGGGTTCTTCGGCTACAGCATGCGAGGATGCGAAGCGAAATGGGAATCAGCCGGATAGGGAGATCGATAGTCGGGGAGTGACAGGTCGCGACGAGGCCCGGATGGACGTTGGTTCGGGAGTGGAGCAAGCGAGAAAAGCCGAAAACTATCCACTGCCGAACTGCCTTTCTGATTCGACAATGGAAGCCCACAGAATCACCTCGTGACGAGCACAAGTGTCTACCGCTGGGATTGAACCATGGGTGCTTTCTCTTTTGATGAACATGACTCGCTCTATGCCAGTCTCGACAGAAAGACTGAATAGTAGCCAGAAGTGTACACCGCTCCGGAAACCGCTAGAATGGGACGCACGAAGGCATCGCAGCGACTGTAGAGTACTCCTGCATAGCCAAGTGGAGCAGTCCATGCCAAATTATATATCGAGCGTATATATAATCTTGGTTGTTAGGTTGCCGAGAAAGGTTCCCTGCTGCAGCACGGCCTCTTCCATCGCTCGATCAAACACTGTTCCTCTTTCACATAACATGACCAACAGCGAGAGAAGTATTGGCCCAAATTTAACCATTGAGGTGCGGTATCTAGCGAAGAATCATCAATCGTATATTATGAGTTGATCATAGTGGCATGAGACAGATAAATTCCCAGGTCACTTCGAGAAGGATGATCTTGGCGGAAGCTGAGACCGGGCGCATGGAAGGAATTGGATACGATATTCAAGGGAAACGGCAATCTGAAGGTGACAGAATCCGAACAGGGGGAAATCTAGCACCTGATACAACGTACGCACATTCTTCCGGTAGGGAGCGTACGTCAGACTGGTGGAGTGATTGTGATTCGCGCCAAGCGTAGATAAACTCTATGCTGACCAGGACGAAAGCGTTAGCGCGGCTTTATTATGAAGCTTAATGTCTTAGATAGGAAGGTAGATATATAATTTTAGCAGGACCGTCGCGATAGTCACCAAGTGTAGGCTAGTCTGAAGCGCCGGGCGGATGTGACTGACTCGCGGTGTTTGGAACGAGTGAATTTCCGCACACAAAAGGGTAGACATCGCAAAGTTGGATGGGTGTCAAATTTGCAACATGATGATCAGCTTGACAAGGTGAAACATGCACCGATAGAGTGGTGGAGGAAGATGAATGTCCTGACTCCTCACTGGTGCTGGGGAGGGATAAGTGGGGAGAAGCAGCGAAGCTTAAACTAAAAGCCGAATGGAAATTGAAGAAGACTAGAGCCTCAGGCACAGGATCCACGGGATGTGCATCATGTGAGTCATGATTCCACTAACTAACTATACGACATATCTCGGCCGATTCAATAGCAGCAATCCTATATACAACTTGCCGACCCACTGGTAGGCAACACCATTTCACTTGCCAACCAACGTGCTTATACAACTGGCCATCCGCTGGAAAAGTCGATCGTGTTCCACCCAAACTGCGCGTCAGAATCGGCATAGCCAATCGTGGTGTTCATGTAGTGGTAGTAGAGAACCGGACCCAGGTTAGGATCATCATACACACCCCTGAACCATATTAGCATAGCTATTAGTGGGGCAGCTGCAGGATCACTTACTGTCCGCCAGGGCCATAGACTTCTCCGTGGCTTTCGAGAACCATCGTGCCCCCGCCGTCCGTGCATGCCGTACCATCAGAGTCAACCTTGACATCATATTAGCTTTGCTTGCTTATCTAGTATTTGCTCTAGACGCCGGATGTACTTACGAAATCGCCGGTCGGGGAAGTCGAACGGCAGACCTTGATATGATACTCCTCTCCGGAGGCAGGCATGGACGTATCATATCCACAGCAGATACCTGCCGAGTAAAAGAGGTAGTAGTAGTCACCGTACTGGAACATGTATGAACCCTCCTCTGCATGAGTACCGGACGGGTCATATGCGATATTGTAGGAAGATGAGGCAGCTGCAGTTGGGGTTGACTTCATCGGGACTTGGTAGAGATCATCCCAGAACGACCCAAAGTTGATGTAATAGGTACCGTCGGCGTAGATCAGGTTGGGGTCGATTGCATTGTAGATCTTAGCAGAAGAAGATTTGATGCCAGTGGAGCCATGATCGGTCCAAGAGTCATATTCCATCGTCTCAGACGTTGCCAGTCCGATTGCGGAGTCTTGGGATCCAAAGGTCGACACGGCGTAGTATACATAATAGAGACCATCGACATAGGAAACATCTGGGGCCTGGGAACGTATCAGATAGGCCGGTCATGCTGGACTGAGACATAGTTACCCAAAGATCATCGTTGCCATCCAGATCGATGGACGATCCATCTGGCAGCATAGAGCCAACGCTGGTCCATGGTCCTTCAATTGATGATGCAGATACGTAGGAGATTTTGTTTCCTGTGGAGAAGAGAAAGTATGTACCGTCTGACTCTCTCCGGATCAAACCGGGGTCGTGGGTGGTACAAACACCCGAGCATGCTCCGGGATTGGCGTAGCCATGCACGAGGCTGGCCAGCAGAGGGACCGAGGCAATGGATAGGAGGTGATACATGGCTATCAAGACAGGCGCTGTCACCACTGGATGACTTATCCGAAGCATCCAGATCTACTGTTATATATACAACCATCAAACAACTACTCATCCCACCGGAAGACTACTGCATCGATTCGTGGACAAAGTGGTTGTGTTTTCCGCCTTTCCGGAGCGACCTCCGTGATACTTTGGTCGTTTCATAGAGTTACAAAGCGCATGTTGAAACAGCAATATTCCGGAGGCACCTACCGTTATTAGCCGATGACCGTGCCTGTAGCATGATTTGGTACATCAGCATGTAATAACTGGTGTGCAGACAACGCTGACAGTGGGTGGATAAACTGGCCAACACGTGGGTTGTGATGGACGTATCTCTCTATACAATAGCCAGTGTGAGTTACCAGGAGTAATATGATGTCAGTGACAGGGATGAGATGGAGACCAATCCTGCAACATTAGTTGTTCAGGCATCCCTAGCGTGGTCTTGAGGCCCCCCCAAACTAGCATAAGCACACGACATGGGAACCTATAGCTACGACCCATGTCACTGTCCATTCTGCGGGAGTAGTTTCCGGCCTTAGGCGTACTCTGACACTGGACCATCCGGATCACAGTTTGTTTCTTATCTATCATCAACCGGTGACATTCAGGGGGCAATCAATAACTGTCTCCTGAGGGACCAGAGGTGCGAGGGGCAGAAAGAGAAGAGAATCTTGTCTCAGCTGCGCCCCTTTCACTCGCGGCTCCTTAGGATTGGCCCATGCAAATCTTGGCATAACTTTGGAGAGATTCTAGTCCACATCCCGCCAGCTTGAGGCCATCTGACGGATAGCGCATCAAACATGCCGTACGTTTCTAACCGTGTAGGAAGCGTAACTCATGCAGGTCCGCAGGTATTAGTTGAAAGCACTCGCACTTTGTTGGTAAGCGCACATCGACCACGCCAGAATCTGAGGAAGTTGGGACATAGCACACGTCCTCTTCCTGGTGGAGAAGCCAGCGTTAGACCGAAACGTAAATGGAAACAACAGAAGTGGGGTTCTTCAGCGATGGGTGGAGCCGTAACCGAGGACTGGAAGGGTCTGTAGTACCAGAACACAGGAACCCCTTTTAAGAAGGTAAAAAGAGAGTCCCAACGGAGATTCCGCGGGCAAGATCCAACTCCCGGCCGATACAAGATCACAACCAAATTTAGCAATTGTTGTGAGGTTGATGTAGGAAGTTGTGTTGAAATGCTTCCAGATGCTGACTATTCTTGAGGGCGGAAATTTGCTGCCTGAGGCTTCCATCTTCAGCCAACCCAAACCAGGCATTTCAGAACAGCAGCTCCAATGCAGTCCTAATCACATCACATTGTCGATCTACACACTGCCATGCCACATCTCTCGGACACCGTCGGACACAACAAGTCAATAAACCTCACTACCTTAAGCACACACCCGTTCTCCTAAACCCACAAACATTGGGCATGCATGACCTGAACAATGCGGGGAAGGATCCCCAACCCTGCACAGCACATGCATTAGTCGATTAGAACTAATTACTATCCTCACACTATTATAAGGGACTCCGTGCGGGCAAGATGATCATATGGCCATACTCGGAAGGATCATCTCACGTCTCAGGAAGGGATCTACATCTGATTCGGTCGTGAGTGGCTATCCCACCGGGATGAACATTGCTGACGGGCGCTCTTCACGGGTTGAACCTTGTAGTATCTAGGTGTGTTTTTGTATCGGGTTAGATAGTAAGATGCGAGCTGGGCCTTGTATTATTTCAGAGTTTGTTGGCTGGTTTCCGTACCAACTGTGATGAGCGGGAAATATATATCATTGGATGCTGGGGGAAAGTAAATGTGGTGTACCGCGGTAAAACCAGAGGTACTAGGCATAGTATTGTCCTGGTACATTGCCTGAAGTCACGAAACCATTCCACTTAGGGCAATAATCCGGTACAGACAGACGAAAGATTGATTTGCTGCCTTATGGCCCACCATAGTTGAGTAGACTGCTCTCTGAGCTACTCCCAGACTCAGTTGAGGGTGTGCATACCGTCGGAACATGCTTGAGTTTTACGAGTTTGACTATTTTTAGGTCCAGTGGTGAGACTGCTAGTATAGGTGCCAAATCCAATATAAGCTTCTTTGGTGGTATGGGACTTTGATATTCAGATACAAGAGTGACTTGTTAAATAGACAGCTCATTATATAAACTCCTTTTGAATTATTGTATCTTTTTACTTGGAATATATCCCGGTATATCCGCAAGGGGGAGAAGAGAGCTGAACTACAGTTGACAGCTGGATGGTCATCTATCGGTTTATTGTATGTAGATGAGGCCCTTTATCTACTACCACTTGATAGTACCATATTTAATTGCTAGAAAACAACGCGAATATCAATTCCACGGCTTGGGGTACATTGGTGCACTATGTCAGCACGTGTTAAATACAGGCCCCTTCCACCATCAATCAACGGCATCGCATATTCGAAGAGTGCGAAGCAAAAACGTGCATTAACCATCTTCACAACACACGAACCAGATCAAGGGCAGCTGAACTTGTACCAGGGCTCCATCAAGGTGTGGGGCAATCTCTGGGGTATACTTGAAATACGAGAGACGGATGCAATATGTCAATGTCCACGCCCAACGGGCACCACAACAAAGGAGCGTAGTCACAAGTCCCCGATAAGGCCGCGCTTTTCCCTGCGCCCCATGAAACTAAAGTACCATGTGGGCTCCCCATGTTTCACCCGGCAACCGGTATCCCACTTCTTCAACTCATTATGCTTCCAGTAATCCTCATCTCTGTCACCATCTGACCGTAGATCTTTACTGAGGTCCATACAATCTAGGCAGAGACCATCAAAGTACTCTGCTACTGTTTTGGCTGCCCGCAAAACAATAGCACCCCAAGCTGTGTTACAACGAAAGCACGGTCTCACTTTTCCAGACTGAGGGTCCGTAAGCTTTCGCATTTTCGTCGCATCAAACAAACGCAGTCGTTCGAGCATCTTCTTAATACTGTCGGTTCTCATGGACTCCTCCAACGGCCAAACTTTTATCCTGGCCAGTTCCCGCAAGTATTCAAAGACAGTGAGTTCTTTGCACTCACAATTTCCATGCTTGAGGATAGTGGCCACTTGATCGTGCAGCTCTCTATGGAGGATGTTGCGTAAGCGCCCACGGGCTGCATTGAGCTGTTCTTGAAACAGATGTTATTGGTCCATTCAGAAACAAGGTAGTGAGGGACTCACGGATGATGCGCGGGGGAAGGTGCATCCTTGATATATCGGTGGGATTATGTTCGGTTATATGGCCTACACACCCGTAGACCAGCTTCCTGGTGACCGCCATAAAAGCAGGGGCATTGCCGAAGACGAAGCACGGATACATCAATTCCCTCGAAAACCGAATGTAGTTATCTATGTTGATCCGCTTCTGGCTTTCGTGTTCCCACCAGGCCTTGAACCAAGAACTCAAACTTTTCTGATCAACGTTGTACTTATCGCAGGACATTATAACGTGCCACGTCCCGGCAACAGTAACCGAATCGAGAGGCATGTCATCGAGGGTGCCGTGAAGGCTGCGCAGGAGAACTTCCATGCCCGTGCAGTTGTCCTCCTCCAGGGAAATTTTCTGACTTCCGGACTCAAGCCAGCGAGCGTGACCAAACATTGCTCGAAAGTATTGAGTTTCGTGTAGCTTGTTGCGCTCGACTTTCATTAAAACGCATTTTATTATCTCCTTATCACCGATCCACTCCCTGGTGTATTCTTTGATGAGGATCTCGGTGTCCGCGTTCGAGGAGATGGTTATCTCCTTGATTTCAGGGTCAGAACTCATCTTGAATGTGGCCTTGAAGATGATGTAGAAGTAGGTGAAGGGAAACCAAGATTGCAGTAAGAGGCTTCGGGGTGAGATTCAACTTGAAAGTGAGAAAAAAAATCAGAGAAGATGCTCAAGTGAGCCGGGAGAAGTTGTGGGCGTTTTCAAAGTAAAGTTCGTCAGTGGCAGCGTGTTGCTCTTGCAGGCATTACTCGGTCACGAGACTTGTAGGACGAAGTGAATGAGAGCTCCAAAGACCCAGCCTCTCTGGTAAAACGACCCAAGCCCCAGTGAGTATTACACTAGACAGATTACGTGCTCCAAGTGATCTAAAAGTTGTCAATGTCAAGGAAACAGTGCTTGTAGGTAGAAGACCTCTGGTTGAGGGGCGATGGCACTGAGGACGCAACACACGTTTTGGGCGTTATATGCTGAGTGAGATGAACTGAAAGTAAAGTGGACATGAGGTAATGTGAGTAGGAAAGTACTGCCGGGCCTTAAGAGTCCATTGGTACCCAGATCTGTGCTACCAGCGATGTCTGTCCTCGGATTCGATTCATAGGCAAAAGTGAGAAGTCTTAGATGGAAGTTGAGGATAAGGTGAGCGTAAGCTATCTCCTAATCCTCCAAAGTGATTGGTTGATGGAATTTAGAGCCTGGAGTGACGAAGGATATGACAAGGGGTTGAGTAGTGTTGTAAGTCAGGAGCAGTTCTCATCATCTGGCTGATGAAGAGAAGGCTCATGATGTCCCTTACCGAGTGGTCATCATCATTTAAATCTTCTTCCGCGACCTCTCTCTTTCGATACAAGAGATCTGAAACCGTGTGGGTAGTTTGTCGGTTCTCCTACAACTCTCCAGGCCAGATACACCTCAGAAGCCCAGCCCGAGTACCCTCACCCAGTCTTGGGAATCCTCAATTCTTCCTTCCCAAACCCCGGGGACGAAAGCGTACAGGCCTCTCTTCCCGCTCCAAAGTCAGCGCTCTTCATCCTACTCGCTTGCCGAACAGCTCACATCGGGCCAACAGTAATCACTACCACAATATCCAGGCATCCTGATGAATTGTCGTAAGGCGACCGCCACTGCATCCCAACTAGGTGAGGCCACTCATCCGACTAAGAAGCATTCGATAGAGGGAAACACCTCAAATGATGACAATTCGAAACTCCATGTAGCCAAATGAGGTAAACGGGACTCTACCGAGAAAGGGCAAGGATCCATCACGATGTTCCCTCCACCACACTGTTGTTACCAAAACATGCCATGTTTCCAAAATTTCACGACCTTACCTCCTCCCTATCCAGTGATAGACGACTTGACGGCACCCACCGCAATCATCGGGGTCACTATTAATGAGCTATGGCTCAAACGAGACGACATGTTCTATAACATGAACCATGAAAGCCTGCTGCTTCGTACCGACACAAGAGCGCTATACAGATTAACGAATTTGTAAGGCAGGACGACGAAACCTGAAAACTGCCTGTTCTTACCTCAGTATGCCAGTCATCTTCAACGACTGGACCTCGCCTTTACCATGAGTAACGACTATGCCACGCAACTGGCCCTGAAGCTCAATCAGGTGCAGGCGGACATGAACAGCTGGCGAGCTGAGCGACGAGGTTGGGAAGCGGCTATCCTTGCAGGAAACGGCATGCAGCCATCCATTCTCCAAGGGCTCTCCAAGCAGAGGAAGAAAAGGAGACGCGGGCTTGCTTCCCAGAAGACTTTGCTGGCTACCTCCCTGAACACACTGAGGAACACCCTATATTCCTGCACCCCTTCCACCATAAGAACGAAAAAGGCTCCCTATGAACGCAGCTGCGCGCCAAGCTAGTTGGGACCGAGGCTTTGTCACTCAAAACCGAGTCCGCCATCCGTGCGGAAAGAGAACGGATCCAGCTATCCCTTAAAATGGTTGAGGCTGATGTAGTCCAGTTCAAGCGTGAAGAACAAGGACCTTTTCTGCAGACAACTCCCGAGCCCCCGGCTATCCAGGCTCATGTGGCCGAAGATGAAGATTTCTTCGGCGCGTTCGATCCCCCTTTGCCACCTATAACCGAACGAGACTGGAACCTAGACGAGGAGAATCCCATCCTCCACCGAGAAAGCTTCCTAAAATGGGTAATGGGTCGCTACATGATGTGGAACCCCAAGGAAGTCAAGATCACAACTGCCGAGAATTGTCGAACATTCTTTAATCTACCCAGTATGCCCATTCCTTCCCCATGGCCCTCCTCTATCAAGGAACTAGCGTTGCCCTTGTCACCATGTTTGAGGGACCCTACGCCTTGGCAATTTCCTGCATTTGTTCTTCTAGCCTCTCTAAAGGAAAGATCCAAAATAAATAATTCGGTAACAATCAATACATTGTTCACGAAGGAGGCATTAAGGGCCCTTCGGGAGATGGAAACCGCCTGGCAGAATCTAGACGTCAGTGATCGCTGGGAGCTTGAACAAAACAACGACACAGCAATGGACTGGGTGCCTGATAAGGCTGTCACACTCCTCAAAGCCATCTTTCCTTGTGACATTCCCACGTCCGATTTCGTGGGCGGCAGCAAGCTAGATGCTTTGGACAAGTCTACTACCCTTCCCTCCTCATAGCTGCGAAATGGCCATATTGTAACTACTTCATTATCTTCCTTTGATACATGGGCAGATATGGGTTAGTTCCTTCGAAAAAATTGGCCAGGAGACCTCTTTTGACAACCTTTATGAGTCTCCTCGCCGCCATCGGGGGGCTGTACCTAGTAGCTATATAAATTACCATTATTTTATCCCTACACATGGGCTTATTAGGAAAGGTAACCGGATTGTTCGGCCAACGGATAGATTAGCATCAATGAAGACTAACAATCAACAAGCAGTCCTGCAAGCACAAAATATCCGAAATGTTGTTTATCTGCGACCTATGCGATAGTTCTGTGATACACATGGACACGTTCAACTACGGGGCTAAACGCTGTCTAAGTACTACAAGCAGAAGGTGTCAGCGAGTCAGAGAATGGCGCAAGCACCCGTTCGCTCCACCGCCTCCGATAAAACCACCCCGCATCTACTGTAACTCCTCAACAGCCTATCTCAACCTTCACAATGACACTCAATTCTACCTCTTTTACTTCTATTCCCGTTCTTGACTACTCCCAGGCAACATCATCTGAGGATAAACCCAAGTTCCTCGACAATCTGCGCAATGCATTGGTCAACGTGGGCTTCTTTTACCTCATCAACGCCCCGATCGCGCCTCGGGTGCGCGACGAGTTAATTGAAAAGACCTTCCATATATTCGATCTGCCACTCGAGAAGAAGCTGGAAATCGAAATGGTCAACAGTAAGCATTTTCTAGGATACTCGAGACTCGGGGCGGAGACTACAGCCCGTCAAACCGATTACCGAGAGCAGTTTGATGTGCGACCGTCGCAACCTTGGAAAACCATTCGGGACTGACGAACGCAGTTTGCGACCGAGTTGCCTCCTCCGGCACCAGATGCACCTCTATACCGTAATATCAGAGGACCGAATCAGGTGAGTCATTTTTGTAGAATTTACTTTTCGGCTATCAAATGCTAACAATCGCAGTGGCCAGATGAGAAAGCCATCCCTGGCTTCCGTCACGCCGTGGAGGCATACTTGGCGGAGATCAGTCCAGTTGCCGAGGCATTCAGGATCCTCATCGCAGAAGCACTGGATTTACCGCCGACAGCACTACAGCAATTCTTTGAGAATCCAACACAGCAGAAGCTGAAACTGATCAAATATCCATCTCCAACCACGCCATCCGAAGCACAAGGCGTCGGAGCTCACAAGGATTCTGAGTTCTTGACATTCTTGCTCCAAGCCACACCGCATACCGGACTCGAGGTGCAAAACAAAGCCGGGGAATGGATCCCCGCGCCGCCAATGCAGGACTCGTTGGTCGTTAATATCGGTCGTGCGCTTGAGGCTATCACGGGTGGAGTCTGCACTGCCACAACGCATCGAGTTAATTTGGAAGCAGAGAATTTTGTTGATGCGCAGGGTGCGCCGCTGGGGCCGCGATTCTCGATTCCTGTGTTCCAAGGCATGAGTTTGGATTTGTCGGCGGAGAATATCTCCCTTGAAATCCCAGCGCATATTAAGGATTTGATCAAGGATGATAAAGTCAGATCAGATGCGGAGGCGACATTCAATAAGATATTCAAGGGTCGGGTCGGCGAAGGCACACTTATACATCGGGTCATGAGTCACCAGGATGTCGGGCGGCGGTGGTATCCCGAGTTGTTGGACTGGGCTTTGGGCGAGTATGAGAAGTAGCAGTGGTATTGGGGAAGATACAATGAACTTGTGCTGTATATAGCTGACACTGAAGTAGCCTAATCCAGATCTAAAAACTGTTCAACTCCAAGAGAACCTTTAATGGGTATAGCGTCTTGTGCAACTATACTTTTTCATTTCAGTGATCAGCTAGTCCACATCGTCTACCTCCTGTTCATCTTCTACATCAACTATATCATCTCCCTCACTCTCCCCATCACTATCGTCCCCAGCTTCTTCCTCCAGCACAACCGTCAAGCAAATTACCAAATATACCTCCCCCGTGGCCCGATTCTTCAGCACATACCGCAACACATTATTCTTATCACTGACATATTTCCCAATATGAAAGCTAAACCCGGGAATCCGAATCGCGAATTCTGTCGCATGTCAGCCTCATATCTAGTCCCATAGCCACCCCAACTTCATATAGAAGATAGCGGAACATACCATTGAAATCCAAATACCCATTCCCAAAATCCGCCGCATACGTCCTACCTTTCTCAAAGACAAATCCCTTTCTTCTCTCCTCATTCTGAAAATGCGATCTTCGTGAAGAGGAGCTATCAGGAATATTATATCCTTTTCGGGTCTCCACACCAGATCTGGTGCCCCCTTCTTGGACTATGACATTGTCCTCATCCCCATCATCTTCCTGCTTATCTCCAATCGAGAACTGATTCCACGACGCCAGTCCCGGACTATACAAATACGGCTTATCGGCATATGCGTCACCGTCTAATGATGGGTCCAGTGTAGATTTGACTATCTTCAGCGCCGTGCCAAATCCAGTGGGTAGATATGAGCGGATGGGATGGTCGAAATCATTTCCGAAGATGAGGTCGTTGCCGTTTACGTCGTGGGTGAAACTGAGGGAGAAGGTGAGGGAGAAGAGGTTTTGATTGAATGGAGGTGTGTCGAAGTAGGGGTTTGTTTTGGGGGAGGTGGTTGGGTAGCCTGCATATGATGTGTTACTAACAGTATTGGTGATATTGTAGGAGGGGGGAGGGTGTAGATACCTGTGTAGTCTTTGATGCGGACCCAGATGTTGCTGGTTAAGTGGTCGCTTTTCAATTGTAGAGGAAATGTATTATTTACAGTGACGGTTTCGTGGGTCTCTGGTGCGTAGGATGTGCCTGCGGTGACTTTCAGGCGGTGGTTTTGGGGAGGGGCGCTGGAGAACATTTTGGTAGTGATGGAGATGTTGTATGGTTTATTTACACTGATGATATGATATTTGACAGCATTAGTGAGTTCTTCATTTAATCAAATTGTTTCAAGATAGCAATGATTCTTTGCTTCATACCAATGGTCTAGAATGTGTTGAGTAGCTCTCTCTATTCTGGAGTCATGAAAACCGTTGGCTACCGGGAATGACGTAGTGCATATCACCTTAATCCAGACTATATATGACGCATACTTATGCAGCGTTAGTCATCTATATTTATGCAGGTCCCCTTTGAATTAGATGGCGGGTGATCATCTCACCCACCACTCTATCATTGTACAATAGCGAAAGCATCGCATAATAAAATCGACCGGATCAATGCCTAGAACATCCCCTATTTACGCATCTCAAGATGGCCCTGAAAATCAAGTCATGTCCGACCTGAGTGCAACCCTGTTTTGCACTTCGCCCCAGCCACGGCACCACAGTGACACTATCCTGATATCATACTTACGCGCGAAGTCAATTAGCTAGCCCTGCAACCTTAATATCTTCCGCCAACGCACCTCTCAACAACACTTCTATCTCTGTTCAAACCTCAGAATCGCTTCAATACTGAACAAAACACAAACACGAAATGCAGTCCGTTTTACAGCCCATTCTCGGTCCCAAGAAGGAGATCCATGATCTCACCGGCCGTGTCGCCCTTATTACTGGCGGTGCGCTGGGCATCGGGTCAGTTCTCTGCAGCAGTTTATCCCAATACTAGCTAATTAGGAATGCAGGTACGAAATTGCCCGCGCCTTCGTCCTCAATGGCGCCAAGGTATACATGACCAACCGCAAGGAAGAGCAAGGTCAAGCTGCGATCGAACAAATCAAGAAAGAAGCCGGCGAGAATGCGCAGATCGAATGGTTCCCCTGTGACATGGGCAACCTGAACGAAATCAAGCAGGTGTTTGAAGATTTCAAGAAGAAGGAAGATCGATTGGATCTTGTGCGTTGCCTAACCCATCTCCCGATATTGTCAATACTGATATAGGCGACAGCTTATCCTTTCCGCCGGAATCAACGTCAACCAATACGGCGAAACACACGATAACATTGATCGCCATTTCGAGGTCAACTGGCTGGGCCAGTTCTATGTCGTGAATTTGGTGTACCCGTTGCTGAGAAAGACCTCCAAGTTACCGAATACCCCTGCGCCGAGGATTGTCTTTGAAACGTCAGAGCAGCATCGCATGGCGCCTAAGAATGTGCACTTTGCGACGCTGGAGGAGATCAACAATCCTGAGGTTGGAAACCTGGAGCTCTACGGACGGACGAAGTTGGCTATCATTCTTGGAGTGAAGTACGGACTGTTGGATCGGGTGATCAAGCCTAACAATGATAATATTTATGCGCTGTCTGTGCACCCGGGTGCTGTAAGTATACCAACACCTTCTCTACTAGAAGTGGTCGTACTAATGACAAAATCAGGTAAACACAGCAATGCAACAACAATGGAAAGACGCATACCCAGGTCTTCTAGGCAAGCTTCTAACAACAGTAATGCTAGCAGCCGGTCGGACACCCGAGCACGGCTCTTTCAGCGCATTATATGCAGCGACAAGTCCCGAGGTCGAAGAAAAGGGCTGGAACGGATACTACTTCAGTGACCCTGCACAGCCCGGAAAGGAGACTGCTCAGGCGTCGGATCCTACATTGGGTGCTGCGCTGTGGGACCTGAGTCACCGAATCATCAAGGAGAAGGTTGGCGATGATGCGATTGTCGACTGGAATGCGAGTGCATGAGATGCAACAGCCATGTATGTTACGATAATGATGGATTCAGTTCTAGAATGTAATCGTATTACAAGTTACTTTCCAGTCGAGTATTGCCGTGATGTTTCCAACTACTCTTCTTATTATTCTTCCACTTAAGAACCATCTCCCTATAAAATTGGGCATATGGTTTACTCCTAGGAATACTCTTATCTCCGCCGGACTTAACATCAACAATTGCACCATTACCCCTCCGGGGTCTGCATGGAAGCGCGGTCCCGGCCCGTAACCGGCCTCCCAGGCCCACCGGTCTCTGCTACGACAATCCCGACCACCACGGGAATTGGTCACTACTTACTATCCCGTAGTTACTCGCTAAAAGCCGGACGGAAGCTATCTCCGGCAATGAGGATCTCTACTCTGGTCTGGGTATAGATAAACAGATAACCCCTCTTTTTACTCTACAATCCTACCTCACTTATTTCCACCCAACTCGCCATCCAAAATACACCAATTACTAAAAACAATGACCTGCGAAGCCTGCCGCACCATCCCCCCCGTGATCTCCTCAGGATACACACCTAAGGGAACTTATACCCAAATCGCTGATCTAAAGACATGTACATCAATCCCCGATCCCACCAATCAATCTATAACTAAGTAACTAATGTACCACTCTGAAACTCAATAGATATAACCGGCCCCCCAACAGCCACCACCGGCATAATCGACATCTACGACATCTTCGGCCTCTCGAACCAAACTATCCAAGGGGCAGATCTCCTCGCCGCACGACTCAATGCCCTTGTCCTAGTGCCTGATTTCTTCCACGGCGAGCGTGCAGATCTCGCGTGGTTCCCGCCTGATACGGAGGAGAAGAAGGCGGCGCTGTTCGGGTTTATTAATACGAAGGCGGCGGTTGCGGAGAAGGTTGGGGTGTTAAGGAGGGTGGCGGAGGATGCGAGGGTGAGGTTTGGGGGGGTGAGGAGTTGGGGGGCGGTTGGGTTGTGTTGGGGTGGGAAGGTGAGTATTCTGTTTCCTTTCATACAAAGTTGGAGGTATATGGGTGATGCTGATATGGGTTTGGTAGGTTACTGCACAGGTCTCCGGGCCGAATTCGCCGTTTGTTGCGACGGGACAGGTGCATCCTGGGTATGTTTCTTTTTTCCATTGGGTTTGTTGGGTTCATGGATGTGATGCTAATGGGAGGGATAGGTTCATGGATGTCGAGGAGGCGAAGAAGTTGACGGTTCCTCATATCGTGCTGGCGTCCAAGGATGAGCCGGTTGAGGCTGTCAAGGGGTACGCTGAGGTCATTGCTGGCAATGGCATTGGAGGCGTCGTCGAGACGTATCCGACCATGTGGCATGGCTGGATGGGTGCTCGTGCTCAGTTGGAGACTCCGGAGGGGTTGGCGGAGTATCAGCGGGGGTAAGTAGTAAGCCACTCTTATTAGAGGGGAGGTTGTCTGACGATGGTATAGGTACAATCAGCTGGCTGATTTCTTTGAGAAGTATCTCAAGTCGGAGGCGAAGATCTAGAGGGTTATTAGATCAGTGGAAGGAGAGACAGGGGTGGTATATATATTGTGAATATGTACATCACCCAGTATCATATTTATAAGGTATGACTTCCAGATCTATAACTATTCCTGCCATCAATCAGACAATAGAAATAGAACTCCATAGATGGTAAAGTTGCTGCACCCGGTAGAAGACTCACCCAGCCGACCCACGTGGTCGGGCGCAGCCGCCAACCAACTCCGACTCACGTTTCTCCCAGAGCAACCATCATATGATCATGACAGCCTCCCCCTCCGTCCTCGTCTTCGGCGTCGGCAGCGTCGGTGCCATTTACCTGCACCAGCTGCAACGGGCCGGCTGCATCGTCACCGCCGTCTGTCGCTCCAACTACGAGGTCGTCGCTCACCACGGCTTCACCCTGCGCAGTCCCCGCTTCGGCACCGTCACCTATCGTCCCGACCACACCGTTCGCTCCGTGCACGATTGTCCGCGCGACACTGAATACGATTATGTCCTAGTCACAACGAAGGCTTTCCCCAGTCGGACGCCCTCCCTAGCGGACCAGCTTCGACCGGTGCTTGAAAATCACCCAAACACGGCAATTGTCCTGGCGCAGAATGGTATCGACATCGAGAAAGACATCGCGGACGCGTTTCCTTCGAATCCAGTCATCAGCGGGGTGGTATACCTCCCTACCGTTCAGACAGAAGCTGGTGTCATCGACCATGCGGAGCCGCTGGATCTCCTAGAACTAGGAACGTATCCGGCACGAGCACCAGAGGAACACAGACAGGCAGCGAAGAAATTCGTCGAATTGATGATCAAAGGAGGCGGGGATGCGGTGCTGTTCGAGGATATACAAGAGGCAAGGTGGGCGAAATTGCTGCTCAACGCGGCATGGAATCCGATCTGTGCGTTGTCATTGTGTACGGATGGCGGGTTCTTGCTCACTTCGGAGCCGTTTGCGCGTGACTTGGCCTGGGGGATTATGATGGAGATTGTGGCGTTGGCGAGGGCGGTTGGGATTGCAGGGGTAGATGAGGAGGCGGCGAAGAAGAGGTTTGCATTGGCGGAGAGGAGGGCCAAGGAAGGGACAGGGAGGGAGATGAGTATGTTGCAGGATGTGAAGATGGGGAGACCGTTTGAGGTCGAAGCGATCGTGGGGAATGCCGTTAGACTGGGGAGGAAGTGTGGGGTGTCGATGCCCCGGTTGGAGACGGTATATGCATTGGCCAAGGGGAGGTTGGATGTCTTAATGGGGTGTAGAGGCGATCAGTGATATACCTCTTAGACTGTAGATGTAGATTGAATCCTGGTGTGTGCGGGCTGCATGACAGATATCTGAGGCAGTGTGAAAGTGCCTGCTGCTGTGTGAATGCGGTCTTTCACCCGCATACCAGACGCGAGGGGTCTGTTACTCTTTGATAGTAGTGACAGCAGGCAACCACCAGGCTGGACAGTGAATGCACTGCTGCCTCACTCAAATCATCTGGTCAAAGAACGCTCGACCAACAAGAGAACCCTCTTCCACTTCGCAGCCATCATTCTCTCACTACTACCAAACCTCCCACTACCATAAACAGGCTCTCACTACTATCAAACCTCTTATAACTACTCCTTACTACTGAAATTACCCTGCCTTAAAATGGACGAATCACCCCCCGACTTCTACGACGTCTACCTCACCGAGCAGCACGGCGTGCGCAACCACCTGGCCATCTTCATCGAAACTATTCCCGACGCGGAACCCTTCTGCAACAGCGGTCGACTCTACCATGTGGTGGGCACCATTCTGCGCGGCATGGACTACGGTCATCGCAACACCCCCGATCCCGAACTGCTGCCCGGCTATGTGATGGACTCGAAGCGTAAGATTGCCGTGATCGCCAGAGACGACGTGATCCGATTTGAGCGGGAATGTGCCGAGGAAATCCCACCTCCCCCAGCTCAACTGACCCTCAGTGGGAAGCCTTTGAACCGGGCCGTGCCTTTGTATCGCTGCACCGACTGGGTGGAGGACGTGGTGCATTTGGCCTTGGAACTGGGCATCTTCAAGAGAGATGGGAAGGAGGGCGAGTTATACTTTGGAACGGAAGAAGATTGACCAAAGGAGACTAGGGGGGAAGTCTGATCCAATTGTGTTGGGTGGAATGGAATGCAATACAATTGGGGATGGATGGGGTCTAGAGTGTGTCAAATAAATGGACAGCAGCGACAGTATCCACCGGGTCTGGAATGACAGTCGGGGGGAAGCGAGAATGGCTAATGGCTAGAACCGTGGCTCAACATGTTCTGGAACGGAAGGGGAATGCAAAGCAGACAAACAGTGACATTTCCTGCCAACCACGGATAACTGGTCGGATGCAAGTGCCGAGTGGGTGTGGATACTGACTTCATAGTACATTTGACTGGTGCCGTTATTCCCGAATTTGCAGCTAGTCTAACAGTAACCCTTACTAGTTTAGCCAAGTCAGTCATTTCAAGTTTATTCTGGTTAATCCCTTCCCCTCGGTTGGGTCAGTCTCCATCCACAGTCCGTCCATCTATCTCCTGGCTATACTTAGAATCTCTGTAATCTGGCTATAATTATCCCCCATTATAATACGATCGATCATATTGATCTGGGGATGACTCCCTTATCCCCCAGCTTAGGATCAGGGACTTAGGTCTACTCACTGCAACGGCCAGTGCCAAGGGGCGAAGCTTTGTGGTGGGGGCTGATCCGCCGTTGTTTCAGAAGCTCCTTTCCTTCAGGGGAGTCTGGCCCGAGGAATTCTGCTGCATCCTTCACAAATGAAGTGATTTCCCCGTGGAGACGTGTTCTTCCAATATTCTTCCTCAATGTTCATAGCATCCAATCTAGACTATTGCAGCACTGGACGTGTTCGTGGCCATCCACGTAGCGACTAGAGCGTCGAACCCCTCCCAATCGGTAGAGGGATCAGCATCTGGCCGGGGATAACATCATTTGCTCGGCGCTTCTCCTCTTTTCTAGTGGGTCAACACACCCCTTTAGTCGGGATCTTTTTCTTCTTGCTCTTCCCGCCAATTTTTATTCACTTTTCCCCGGCCCAAGTCGTGCCAACTTCTGCACCGCCGTTACTTGTCATTCGGCCGCTTCCTTTTCCCTTGCCACAGCATGTAAGTGCCCGTTCCGTGGTACGCTTTCCGAGAGTTCAGGCACAGCCAGGAACAATTCAGAAAACTGAGACAACTATTTCAGGATCCTCTCGTGATTATTGCCATTAGTATGCCTACGGCTCAGCATGTCCAGCCCAGTTGACGAATCCAAAACCCATCTGGGTCCTCCACGACGCGACACCGACCCCTCCAGTGACGACGACCGGCTGGGTAACCGATCGACCAACAATGACGAACGCCCGTTGACCCGCGAAAATCCTCCTCCGCCCGCGGGGGGTAACCAGTGGGGCGTGCTCTTCAAGGCCATCCGCGATGGCACTTCACAACTTGCTGAAAAACTCGGTCGTGATCCTGACGGTGGTGATGGACTGGACTCGGCCTGGCATCCGGAAGACTACGGATTTCAAGAGGATATCGAGATGAGAGAGATGCTCGCCGAGGAGGAACTTGAGGATGCTGCCTACGCCTCTAAGCTGCAGTCGGTGTTGGGTTCTGATGCCAATAATCTCGTCAAGAACCTGGGCTTGGGTGAGACGCCGTCGCGGACCAACAGCAATGATGAGAACCTGGTCGGAGGTGTGCTCTGGCATTTACTCAGTCATCAGATGGGACATAATCCGGAGGAAATTCATGACGATGGTGCTATCCCAGCATCGACAGAAGACGGACTGGCGCCGTTGCCTACTGATCTGCGGAAACGTCGCAAGAAGAAGTGGTACGACGAGGATCCAACGAATGACAAGGAAGGTCGGAGGAAGATGAAAGAGGAGCTGTTGACACAAAAGATTGGCTCACTTCTCACACGCCAGCGCTATATGATCCAGCTGTGTCGCGCACTGATGAAGTTTGGCGCTCCGACGCATCGTCTCGAAGAATACATGCAGATGACGGCCTACCGATTGCGCGTGAACGGTCAATTCATGTACATTCCCGGCTGCATGATTATCTCATTTGACGATCCCCTTACCCGTACTGCGGAGGTCAAGCTGGTCCGGACAAGCCATGGATTGGATCTTGGCCGACTCGGGGACATTCACAACTGCTACAAAAATGTCCTCCATGGCAGATTGTCGCCCGATGAGGCACTCCCGGTGATGGACGACCTTCTTACGCGAAAGAGCCGGATTCATCAGGCATGGTTGTTGGTCTTGCTGTCCGGTTTCGCGAGTGTGGCGGTGGGTCCGTGGGCGTTCAGCGCACGCCCGGTCGACATGCCCATCATCTTCGTCCTGGGCTGTCTGCTCGGAATATTGCAGTATGTGCTGGCACCACGATCGGCGCTGTATTCGAACGTGTTCGAAGTGACTGTGGCTATGCTTACGTCGTTCTTGGCGCGTGCATTCGGAAGCATTTACTACTCCAACGGCGAGCCTATTTTCTGTTTCTCCGCCCTGGCAGAATCATCCATTGCACTGATCCTTCCAGGATACTCCGTACTGTGTAGCAGTCTGGAATTGCAATCGCATCAGATCGTGGCAGGGTCCATTCGATTGGTCTATACTATTATCTATTCGCTTTTCCTCGGATACGGCGTGACAGTCGGTCTGACGATCTACGGGCTGATGGACGATAATGCGACCACGGCCACAACCTGCCCTTCCCGGGATACCAATATTTACGGCAGCGTATACGTACAGGAATTCGTGTTTGTGGCCGTTTACTGCGCTTTTGCCGCCATCCTCAACCAGGCCAAATGGAAGCAGTTGCCGATCATGTCCTTCATGGGCGTTGCAGGCTACACAACCTACTACTTTACTGCCAACCACTTGGACAGCCGGTTCGGCAGTACGATTGGGGCGTTTACGATCGGATTGTGTGCCAACCTATACAGTCGGGTCTGGCACGGACACGCTGCGGCGGCCATTGTGCCGGGCATGTGGACGCTGGTTTCGTCTGGTCTGGCCAGTAGTGGATCGATCATCTCGGGATTGGCGTACGCAGAAGCAGTGAAGAACAACACCGTATCGGATTCCACCACAACCAAAACACAAGAATCCCTGGGAGGTTTGGCGCTGAGTATGATACAGACGGCGTTGGGAATCACGGTCGGTCTGTTTCTTTCCGCGATGGTGGTCTATCCGGGTGGAAAACGCAAGGGCGGTTTATTCAATCTGTGAATATTGCATCTATGTAGATAGCTTACTGAACATACTCTATGATCTATGATCTTTATATCTATCAATCACGTCCATAATCCCTCGCCACCTTGCGATCTTCCAGACTGACACCAAACTGGCGAATGACCAGCCACGCCGGCAGCAGCGAGATGCCCCAGAGGCCAAAGTTGAGATAAGTCCCACCCACAGAAGCCATGATACCGACACTGCTCAACCCATACTACACTCATCAGCACCATCCACAACACGTCAATCAAAAGCATTGCACTTACCGAAACAGCCTGCACCGCCGACTCCATCCCGCGCAACAACGCACTAATCCGCACCACCTCCTCCTCATCCGCCGCCAAATTGCCCACCACAAAGTACCTATCCCAGTTAGCACATCCCAAACCCTCACCCCATCCCGGGATACTCACAAGAACATATAATTCAACTGAAACCCAGCAACCCACATCAAATACAACACAAACCCCTTCGCAAACCCCTCATCCACCCAATCAATCCCACTCCTCCCCTCATTGGTATACTGCGTCGTGACAACCGTCGCCCAAACCCACCACCCACCCTGCAACCCCAACACCACAAAAAACGCCCCCCGACTCCTCGTCTTCAACCCAAACCGCCTCGTACTATCCAAAAACGCCCCCAACAAATTCCCACACACCAGCGCCAACACGCCCGACAAGAAACTCCCCAGCGCTCTCACCCGCACACTAAACCACAGATCCAAATACGTGAACATCACCGCCTCCGTATACGTCGCCTGCGCAATCAACGGCACAATGCACAGAAACTCCTTCCGCAAAAACAACCGCGTCATCGCCTTCACCTCATACCACGCACTATGCGCAATCCGTAACTTCACCTTCATCCCATCCCGTCTCATCACCTTCCCAGGCTCCGTCAACAACAACCCCGCCACCGGCCCCAACGCCTGCAAGGCAATAAACACCCCGAAGACAGCATAACTCACACTCCCCGCTGTATTCCGATGCACGTTCAGTCCCAGATTAATCGCCCCGCCGAGGATCTGGCCCCCGACGCGGAAACTCAACCAGAGTCCTAAAAACCGACCTTGGTTCTCTGGCTCCGGGTAGGATAGTGCGATCGCGCTCTCCGCCATCCAGAATATCCCCGCTGATAGTCCGCAGACCGCTGCGCCGAAGAGGACTAGCCAGTCCGTTCCGAATCGGTTGTGTGTGTACAGTCCTGCTGCGTAGGGTGCGTACCCGATTGTGCCGAGGATGAGCGTCCATTTTATTCCGACGAGACGGACAACGACGCTCCCGAAGAAACAGGAGAATACCATTAGTCCGAAGGTGAGGGCGTTCGCGGCGTCAACGAGGTAGGGACTTTCGGATCCCCCGCCGCCGAGACTGTTCATTGCTGTCCAGATTCCGGGGGCGAGGAAGTTGCAGAGGCCGAGGACGAGGGCGTTGTAGGTTGTTGAGCGGTACCATTTTACTGAACACCCACAGTGTTAGTATTGTTAGTAGTCGGTATGGGGAGGGGGAGAAAGTGGTAGTATTGATATACCTTTATGATCCCGACTCGGTTCGAAGGGGGTAGAGGATGGTGTATCATGTACCTCTTCATCCGTTAGGGATGGTTGCTTTTCGAGGGACATTTTTCTTTTCTTGAATGTCCACCAGATATTGATATAGATACAATCTAGTAGAAAAATCCCACAGAGTGGAAAATTGGGGTAAATGCAAGGGTATCTCCCACCTACTTATATACACACATATATATCTAGATAGATAAATTCCTTCTCCCCGATCTCGGTAAACCCACCACCCACTTAATGCAGCCCGTCATCCTTGCATGACATGACAGCAAGGAGCACAATCCAACCACTGACATTGGGTATTGAGCTATCGGTCGAGACCGTGGATGTTGCGGTTTGAGGGGGTGATTACGTGCTCGAGCACGGCATTTTAGTGTGCGTGGGGAGAACAGGGAATGGATTGATTAGATAGATAGTCAGTATTCCTTCGGGGTGGGCTGTAGGTAGGTGATCGCGCAATATATGTCACTGGTTGCATGTATTACTTTATGGAGCTAGTACTTAAGTGAATTAGTACGCTAAGTAGTCAGTAGGTAATATGTCCTGCCATTCTCCCATCATTATCCATGCTATCTATCCATGCCCATCCTTATCGATAACAGCAGCCCTAACACCCATTTAACTATACGGTAGTAGTAGTAACACCATCACTCAGCCAGATCATCCTCATGAAACACCAACGCCCTAACCTCAATACTCTCCCTGCCCTCCTCCCCCTCCGTCCCCGGCAACTCAAACGCACTATGCGGCACGCGTCTCGCCCGTCCATCCGTCTTCGAATCAAAGCACTTAATCAACGTCACCAGCTCCGGACCCTGTCTATACCGATAATACCACTTGACCTCGGGATTCGGCTTGACCGCACACGTCTCGCCCTCGCGGTTGGGGTAGATCAACTTCGTCGGAACGAGATCGCTATCCGGGACGGTATGGGCGTCCGCTACGGCTAGCGGGTCGCGTTTCACGGTCTTGATGGGTCGCCACACATTAATAATCTGGTATCGGCCACGAAGCAGTCGGGGAGCGTCCTCCGGGAGATGGTACTCTACGCGGTCTTTGGCGGCGCGGTAGGATTGGTCGATGTGGACGCGGTTCACGGGGCCGCGGAGCTGGGAGCTCGGTGTGTTGGCTGGTTGGGGACGGCGGATGGTGTGGTCGAAGATGAAGATGCGGGAGGCGTTGGTTCTGATGGCTGTTAGAGGGGTTGGATGGGGAGGGGATAAGGGATGGGGATGGACGTACGCATCTTTTAGGAGTTGCTCGGTTTCAGGGTAGTATTCTCGCTTGATCTTCTCGTCGTCGAGAAAGTCTTTCTCTGCGCTGGTGTGGTAGTAGAATTGGAAGCCGTTGCCGTCCAGCGTGTAGTCCAGCTCGTGCCCGCTCACGTCGTTGATCGTCACTGGGATGGATATGCTGGGTCGGTCGTAGCTGCTTGGGACGCCTACGTAGGTTGGGGCGAGGTGGGAGCCGTCGGGAAGTTCTCTGAGGAAGTTGAGGGTGGTGTGGGCGTGGTGAGGACCGGAGGAGGGGGTGGGAGTGGGTTTGGAGGGGACGGTAGAAGCGTCTCCTCCGGTGGGAGTTTGGACTGCTGCGGAGGCCATTATGAGGTTATTAGAGTGGTTGAGCTGAACTGAGTATATTAGAGTTAAAGCTGATGTCTGGATGTAATGTTGAGATATCTGGTGCAGATCCGGGGCAGTTATATATACGGTAGTATCCGCATTTGTCAGAAGCACGCCATCCGAGCAAAATACTGCGTCTGGCGCTGATAAATCCAATCATCTATTTCAGTACTTCTGGCATGACATGCAAGGTCGCATGTGATGTTACAAATTATTAATATGGTGGAAACTGTCTTTGTGGCTTGATTTCTAATCATGATCTACGATCCGATCAAGTATACGAACGCGCAAGCTTGGTAATCTTGGTCCCGTCATCCAGCACCTCGTCTTCCTCTTCCAGTTTATATCCGCCCCAGCGTGGGAGTAGCACTGTCCATATGTACCAGTAGAGGATTCCGAAGATGATACTATTTTCGTTAGTTATGGTCAATGATGGCAAGGGTATACGTACACGCCCATCCCCACGATCGCATATGTCGCGTAGAAGAAATTAACATCGCTCTTCCCGTCTGCTGGAGGGAAAAATGGTGCAGAGAGTAATGCGACGCAAACTACGACTCGTAGCCATACTGCTGGTAGCCAGGCCTTGTAAGGCCGTGGGAGAGACGGTTCGCGGTATCGCAGTAGCACGAGACCCACTGTAACTGCGAGACTGAAGACCTGTCCTGGGTAGCCTTCAACGTCGAGAATGAAGTTGTACACGTCTCCTTGGGGTGGAAGGGCGATGACCAGCAGAGAAGGTATATAGTGCACGATGAGGCCGCCAAGGGGGGCACCAAATGGCTTTGAGGACGACAAAACCCGAGACCAGGGAAGGAACCCCTGTCGGGCGATCTCTTGGTTTACGCGGGCCTATTCATTAGCCTTATTCACTGACATGTCATAGAGACTTACCAAGGCGTAAGTAACTACCATGACATTGCCAGCAGCGGAAATAGCGATGGCCAAAGGAAATAGTGTCCGTCCGATGTGGCTGCCAAACAGCCGCTCGAAGAGCAGACCAGCGACTAATTCTCCGCTGTTCTTGATATCTTCCAGCGGCACAACGAGGAAGTACGAAATGTTGGCCAGGAAGTACAAAGCACCAGCGGTGAGCAGCGCCGCCGGACATACCGTTTTGATCGTCCGGATCGGATTCTTCACCTCGCCCAGAACGTTATTCACGTTGTTCAATCCCGCATACGAGTAGAACACCTTGAACAGGGACGTGGACAGCAAGTTCCAGCTCCAATTGGAATCTTCCCACAATGTGTCCCACGAGAACACGCTGGTCGGTTCAGGAATGAGAGCGTCAGGGCCACCGTTAGGACGAAGCAAGATCACCCAGATACCGGTCAGGGAAATGGCACCGATGAGAAATATCTTCACCCAGCCGAATGCGTTCTGAATCCAGATCCCAGTCCGAAGGAAACAGCCATGGATAATAGTAACAACAGTCATTAATCCAACTGCCAGGGCTTTATGCTGGAGCTCTGTTGGTACCACATTAAAAGCGAAGAAAGTATACTTGGCGAATACGATACAGTTGCTGGCCGTAAACCCCAGAACAACTGCTTGCACTGCGATCAGGGTCGACGCAAGGAACCGAGGACGCGGATAGGTATACTCCAGGTATACCTAGATAGACTTAGTTTGGTCTACTTCAGGGACAGTGGAACTACCTTTTCTCCTCCAGATCGCGGCAGCATACAACCATATTCCATCGACACGGCCAGTGCGCAGGCTGCCAGGACGGTCCCAACTGCCCATATCAACAGTGACAGGCCGACACTGCCGGCAGATTTGACGATGGTTCCGGGTGTTGCAAAGATGCCGCTTCCAATAACTCGTGAGACTACCAGGATGTATGCGCTGATCCAGGTAAGATGTTTTCGCTGTCCCGTCGTTGGCAGGACATTACTAGGCGCGTCATCCGAAGAGGAGTCAGGTACGCTCAATAGAGGTTGTCGTTCACCGTACGCCATTATGAATTGTGCAATATGAGAGTAAACCTGACCAGCTATCAGTCAGGCGAGTTACCTTCATAAAGGCAACCTCGCTGAGCAGCCGCTGACATTGCTTGGAAATCATGACCGATTACTGGCAGGCACGTCATTCCGACCGCAGCTTGTGTGTTGATAAAGGGCCTGCTGATAGCCAGCAAGGGTGACATGGCGTGTAGGTCACACAGGATATCAGATGCTGGGTATGCCAATGGCTTTCTACCATTATTCTGCATTTACGGCGATTGAATTACGATCGATCACAGGAACTTGGAGACATCAAATATTCTTGTCCTGCCTCCACTCGATTTCGCCTACTGTTTCAACCCTACGACGATGTTGCTCCAAAAATGGTACCGGTCGCTGTTCCTTGTCTCCGTATCACATCATTTCTGATGAAGTTGATGCCAGCGCAGGTTCTGATTCGCCGATCCCAGCCAGGGGTATGTACGCTGAGCACTCAGGGCTTCCGCGATCTCCTTGCACGTCCGTACATCACCACGACACAAATATAGAAGCCCCACGACCAAGTCTCATTTTTTGGCATCCGTCTCTTTTCTTAAACTCTTCTCTTCGTTGCCATAAAATGGTATTCGAGCAGTTTGATGATGCCATCGGTACAAAAGTTTATCACGCCATCCCGACCCCGCCCGGCGCAATGCAGCAACTGCCCTGAACCGCCAAGTGATCACGAATTCAACCGGCATATGGCGCGCAATGCACGATTGCCACGGCTCTTATCTTGATCAAGGATCTGCTGGCCCGTGTCCGAGAGACCCCTCTCACTGGTGGTTATTTCTCGGCCGGGTAGGTATGCATATCTATAACTGCCCAAGTTACCTTCACTTTGGTCGTCTGAAGCAAACTGAACAGTATCACTGAACTGCAATAATGACGACGATATCAACTTATACCCTGCCGGCGTCGGTTGAGGAAAAGTACACTACGGTGTACCACCGCGAGTTCATCTTGGAGCAGCGAACAGACCCTACTTATACTGCCCAATCGGCACCCACTGATTCGATCATACCACCTAAGACGACTCAGCGTGCACTGCTTCTACATGCTGCGGGGGAACAATATACCCTGGTGACTGATCATGCCATCCCGGAGATCTCTCACAAGGACGAGATCTTAGTTAAGGTACATTATCCATCGTGGCTTCTCGTGGCTCGACTAACATCTACAGATTCAAGCAGTTGGGTTAAACCCCGTCGATTGGAAGGGCCCGTAAGTGTCCCGCAGACACGACCCTTCGCAGCTAACACCATCAGAGCCTTCAACTTCGGCCTCCCCAGTCTACCATGGATCAACGGTCGGGATCTCGCAGGTGAAGTGGTTCGGGTCAACAATGAGAATAGTCGGGTTCGTGTCGGCGACAAGGTGCTGGTACCATCGACAGACTATCGTGATATTCGGAAAGCTGCCTTTCAAGAATACGCCGTCGCTACCCACTTCAACGCTGCACGTATACCATCGAACTCCTGCATCCACGCTTCTGCCTCGCTCGGTGTTGCTTTTGTCGCTTCTGTCCTAGCTCTTGGTGTATCACTCGGTCTTGACTTTAGGGAGTGCGCCCAGGCCCCGGGTCCGAATTTGCAGGATACGGTCGCTCAGCTTGATATCAACGACATACCGGCGGATATCCGTGGGGAATGCTTCTCATCGAGTGGGGTGTCGGAGCGTCTCAAGAAGGGTGACTGGATTGCTATTTGGGGAGGTAAGTTGCCCCTTACTTATTCAGATTATCGCTGACTGTCATAGCATCCACCACAACCGGATACATCACCCTCCAGCTCGCCAAGCTTGCAGGACTCCACGTCATCTGTGTAGCAGATATCGCCCGCCACGGCTCGCGACTTCATCAACTCGGCGCAGATGTTCTTGTTGACCGACAGAATACAGAACGAGCTGTGGATATCATACGTGGAGTCACCGGAGGTAAACTCCGGTATGCTGTTGACATTGTCGGGGCAGAGACGGCGACACTACTACAGCGCACACTCGACCATACTATCCGTGAGGACGAATCCCATTCCCATTTACTCGGGTTGACCGGCCTACCAAAGGAAAGAAATGAGGCATTGGTTTATCACACGGTTCCGATCAAACTGTTCCACACATCGCCGACCGTGGGAGAGCAGATGGTCTCTTGGTTGGAGAGATTGCTCGAGACAGGAGCGTTGCAGCTGCCGGAGGTCGTTCGACATGAAGGCGGGCTAGGGAGCATTAATGAGTCGTTGGAGGTGTTGCGCAAGGGAAGTGTGTCGGGGAAGAGGATAGTTGTTGATATGGCGGAGTAAAGGGCTTTTCTTTTCAACAAACATTCTCTCTTCATCAATTGTACATAGACTGAATACTATCATGCGACATATTGAAAAAAAAAAAAGGTTTAGACGGGAAAATAAAATTTGTTGACTATCTCTGGTGTGTACCGGACAGCATCTCCAACCCTACAACCAAACCTACTATTCCTTAACTATTCTATACTACAAAGTAACCACCAAACCCAACCACATCGTAACTGAATCCGAAGTCAGAACAAATATCACACAAATCTCTTATCAGATACTGACTAATAGCTACAACCGCAGTTACACAGCTCCTCTACCCCTCCTTCCCCTCACTTCCGAGACTACCACAGTTGGCACCATCACCACCGCATCTGGCGCAATCACGCGGCAATCGCACGTCTTCCCCTTGGCCTTGCATACAACCCGCAAATCACAGCCACGAGCATACCTTCTCGTCCGAGTAATACAATTGAGGGGCATTGCTATCACGGGCTATACTGACACGGGAGAAATTAGTGCCAGTTGCACAATACACATACCAGATACCCACTGTGCGACGGTTTATAAACTCACCCCGTGGCCTGTTAATACTGAAAAAAATACTACACTATATTTTCCAATTTCCTCACTCAAGATCGCCTATCCTGATTAACTCATCAAGTATTGCAACATGGGCTCCGCCGAGAAAAAACAACTCATCCTCAATGCCTTCGCGATGCAATCGCCCTCGCACCTGAACCCAGGTCTGCACCGCTACCCCAAAGACCAAGGCCACAAGTACACCTCCCTACAGAGCTGGATCCGCGTCGCACAGAAGCTCGAGGCGGCCAAATTTCACGCCATATTCTTCGCCGACGTCCTCGGCGGCTACGACGTCTACAAGGGTCCCGCGAACCTCGATCCGACTATCCCCGCGGGCGCGCAGTTCCCTATCAATGATCCGCTGTACAGTATCCCTGCTATGGCGGCTGCGACTGAGACGATTGCGTTTGGTGTGACTGCGTCGACGACATACGATGCGCCGTACGCGATGGCGAGACGCTTCTCTACTGTTGACCATTTATCCAACGGTCGGGTGGGATGGAACATCGTCACGTCGTACTTGGAGTCTGCGGCAAGGAACTTTGGATTAAATACCCAGATTGAGCATGATGAGCGGTATCGCATTGCGGATGAGTATCTCGATGTGACGTATAAGTTGTGGGAGGGTTCATGGCGCGATGGGGCTGTGTATAAGGGGGATGATCGTGATGGGGTGAAGGGATATGCGGACCCTAAGGCTGTGAGACAGATTCACCACAAGGGGAAGTATTTCAATGTCCCCGGACCGCATCTGTGTGAGCCCAGTCCGCAGAGGACTCCGTTCTTGTTGCAGGCTGGTACCTCGTCGGCGGGTAAGGCGTTCGCGGCGAAGCATGCCGAAGCGATCTTTTTGAATGGGCAGACGCCAGAGCTGGTCAGGCCGAGTGTTGATAGTGTGCGGGAGCAGGCGAAGGCGCTGGGACGCGATCCCGCTGGGATTAAGATTGTCGCGGGTGTGTTGGTTATTGTGGCGGAGACGGATGAGGCCGCGCATGCCAAGTTCGAGGAGTATGCGAGGTATGGAGATCGCGAGGGCGCGTTGGCGCTGTTCGGAGGCTGGTCTGGGTATGATCTGTCGACGTACGATGATGAACAGGATTTCCGGTTCGTGGAGCAGCCGGCGGTGCGGAGTATGGTTAATCACTGGGCCAGTACGGTGCCGGGGATGGAGGGGAAGAAGTGGAATAAGAGGACGATTGCGGATTATTTGATTATGGGTGGCAATGGGTGCAAGATTATCGGTGGACCCAAGACAGTCGCGGATGAGTTGGAGAGGTGGGTGGAGGTTGCGGATGTCGATGGGTTCAATCTCAGCTACGCCAGCATTCCTGAGACGTTTGATGATATTATTCAATATCTCGTTCCCGAGCTGCAGGCCCGCGGTATCTTCCACACGGATTATGCAGTCAAGGGCGGCACGATGCGCGAGAATATGACCGAGCAGAAGGGACAGACGAGACTGCCCGAGTCCCATCCGGGCGCAAAGTATTTCTGGCGTGAGGGCGAGGAGGTGCCTAAGTATGCGGAGAGTCAGTGAGACGGGTTGACATAATGTAACGATAAGCAGAGAAAGAGATGAAACTGTCGAGTATCCTTTTCAATGCGTGTGATAGACTCAGTGTGATCTTAGCTTCCAATTCGACTGGGAAATTGTCAGTCGACCTCGGAATAGCCCGATAAACAAGAGGCCTTGAAGATAAGGGCTTCGCGTACGTCACCCTTGGATGTAAATCTCTCATAAAGAATAAGCTCGATGCCAGAGGCGAGATCTTACCTATGCCATAGTACAATTGGTGGACATCTGTAGATTTCAATGGCCACCGCAAAGCTAGTACAATCTGGGGTAGCGCTCGGATAAGTCGGGTCAGCTTGGCTCGGGCATTCAACCGATCTCATGCCCAGAACAATAATTCGCGCATACACTCATGTATTGAGTTTGCAGATGGAAGAAAGACTATAGTCGGGAATTATGGTGACAGTATCTCATGCAGATATATGAGGTTAGGTTCGGGTCGAGCAATTTTTATGAAATGCTGGCTGTTCGTCTCTGTCAGTGTTTTGAGCCCTAGGACGCTGCATGTATGGTTTTTATCGGATCGTCAGGGGATGGCATATTCATAAACTGCTCAAATAGCCAGTTAGAGATAAGGATATTGTCTCTCTGTGAGGGATTTGTTCCCTCTTGCTGTGCCAATGATAATGTACACTGGAGGAATCTGTCACGGGCATTCGTTAGGCGTCCCGCTTTGATTCACTAAAATGCCGCATATGCTATTGATGTTCCACTAGAATCAAGCGGGATTCTCGTTGTTAGTCTTCTTCCGTTACTTCCAGAGCGATAGCTAGCAGTATGTCATACTTCCCCATTCAGACCCAGTCAGTTGCTTTGAGATTATACTAGTCAGTAATATACTACCAAGTGGTTAGCAGGTACATGATCCATCTCTTACGTTACGGTACATTACAAATGAGCAAATTTGTGATGATATAGCTCAAGGCTATGACCAATAAAAGTCCTCTCTAAGCTGCCATGAGGTCAAAGAACCTCCATCGGGCAAAATCATCATACACCAATCATTCACCACGGGACTCAGTGCTCCACAACCGGGCAAACCAAGCGTTCATAGATATCTATCACCAGCAAATGTATGCAACATCGCAACTATAAGTACAGGCGTTTTGCTGCTGTTCATCATGACAATTTCATCCCCGGCTTATCTGTTTAAATCTATCTTCATCATCAAAAGCTGCCACAATGATTCCTGCCATCCTATGTTCCAGTCTCTTGCTTCTCGGCTTCGGCCAAGCAGCAACCGTTCCTCTTCCTCCAGGCACTGGACCATGCGACGTCACGCTCAATGCCAGTGAACTAGTCGACTGGTCTCGAAGCAATCCATTCAATCCAAAAGGGGGAAAACGTGCCCTCATGGTCACGACCTTTACACCCTTCAACTGCGGGAGCGTGCTCTCAGATTCCTACATCCCAAATGCAACAGCAGCATATGAAGATGAAACATTCCAGTCTTTCGGGCTACCTGCAGGAACGTTCGGATCCTTTCGCATCCAGACACAGCAACAGCCACTATCTTCCAGTAACAACGAAAGTTACCCAATTGTGCTTTTCTCACCCGCCCTGGGAGTATCAAGATTGATGTACACCTCGCTCCTTCAAGACATTTCCAGTCACGGATTTGCTGTCATCTCCGTCGATCATCCGTATGATGCCAACATCGTGGAATTCCCCGATGGTAGTACGGTGATTGGCATCCTCGATAACACTACAACAGATGCACAATTTACTTGGGCAATGAACGTTCGCGTCCAGGACATGATCTTTGTTTACAACCAGACTCGCAACGAGACGGCAGTCAATGAAATATTCCCCTTGTCACTGGACAATCCACGCCTACTCTCTCTCGACCGAGTATCCATCACCGGTCATTCCCTCGGCGGAGCCACAGCAGCGCAGACAATGTTAGTTGACAACCGATTCGTCGGAGGCATCAATTTAGATGGTACATTCTGGGGATCCGTCCTCAAAAAGGGACTGTCCAGTCCGTTCCTAATGTTCAGTAACGCGAATCACACCGCAGAAACCGATCCCAGCTGGGGAACATTCTGGTCGAACTTACGAGGATGGAGATTGGAGCTACAACTCGCACAGTCTAGGCACTATTCCTTTTCCGACTTACCGGTACTGGTGGATTCTCTGAGTATCTCTGACGAACTGAAAGAGATTGCTCAGGAAACCTATCTTGGAACTATTGGCGCTCTGAGGGCTAAGAATGTGGTTGTCTCATACACGGTTGCTGCGTTGCAGTATTTTGCTTATGGGCGCACGTCGGATCTACTGAGTGGGCCATCCGCGGCGTATCCTGATGTCACTTTTGTACATTCTGCCTAGTCCACTGGGATGCTGATATATTCATGTCAACGAGGCTGTTGCATTTGCAGTAGTATTGTACGAGAAGCTTACCATACATATGAGTGGCAATCAGGATTGAAGCATATCAAAGCTCAGTGTAGATACTGTTCGAGATAGATAGAATTGCTTAATTTGACAGTGTTCCACTTGTATGAGTTACTGAGTGTAAGTGAAATTACAGCCGCACATACTAGTCACGTCAAGTGATTCACAAACTCGGCCATCACAGCACCGAACCTGTTAATGCGAGGCTTACTCTAGCTTCATTCATCACATCTCAATATCGATAGAAAGCTAGTCGCCCTGTGAATTCTTGGAAGCAGTCAGTGCAGCACTCTCACCCTATGATTTAGCCGCCGCACATGTCTCCACATAGTAATTAAGCGCCGGCTGATGGGAGATTGTTCCATATATAGCTCTGGGCGCACAATTAAGGGGATATCCCGGCGTCTCGAAGGTGTTGAGGATTCACAGGTCCGGAATTAGCCGCCGTGAATCCACCACAGGTTTAAATTCTTTACTTCTTCCTCCAACTGTTATATCTCCACAAACTACTCATTATCACTTTGTATACCTACATTGTGCATTAAACGATCACACATCAACAAATGGGTGACTTGGGACCATACCTCGAATACGATGGTGAGGACTACATCTGTACTATCTGCGACAGATGGTTCAGGACTGAAGGTGCGCTCTTCGCCCACTGCAGAGCAACCACCCGACATGAATGGTGTGAGAGATGCCGTCGGGTATTTGTCTCAGAAGACTCGAAGAATGCACACATCCGAGCATCCAAGAGACATAATATTTGTCGTTCCTGTCGCGAACCATTAGACTTTGAAACCAATGACGATCTCCGAAACCATCTGGTGGATGATCATTATGCTTGTCTTGAATGCAATATATTCCTCAGGTCTGCTGAGAATCTCCTAAGCCATGATATCTTGGTCCATTATTATTGCGATAGCTGCGACAGATATTTCGGCAATGAAAACAACTTAAGAATGGTGAGCTGATCAACCTTAACGTTGTTGTGTGAAGGTTCTGATGGCTTGTTTCTTTCCAGCATCGGCAGAAGCACCAACCCAAGGACGTGGAATGCTATGGTTGCTATCAGAGCTTCAGGTCATTTTCCGGGATGCTCATTCATCTGGAATCAGGGGCCTGTCAGTCGGGTGTTGTTGAGGAGACGATTGATGATTTAGCGAAAGAGTGTTACCAAAGCAGGAAATATATCGTTGAAACAGATGGAGGCTGGCATTATGAGTGTCCAGACTGTGAGAGGCAGTTCTGGAAGCTATCTGCGCTGTACCAACATGTTGAGGATGTCCCTGCCTGCTCCTATCTTGCGACTGGGGATTGTTGTCTGGCTAAGCTTGAGCGCTTTATGGCTTCCAGGTTGCCATGACTCCGTGCATCCCTCCTTGCCTACTGCGACTAGCTCCTTGTTCTTGCTAGAGAAATAATCACAGCATTTGTGTGAATTGACTCTTCAGGTTCACACGGTACCGTATCATCCATTCATCCCAGGTGCATAGAAGTGACGGCGGGTCCGTATTAACAATTGCGCATCCTGGTGAACGCATAATTGGAGTGACAGCTCCGTATTAACGGCTGTGCGTACTGATGCATGTAGTTGAAGTGAATAATCAACTCAATTCTAAAACCTTAAAAGGACCGTGTGAAGCCTATTCCTCGATCTTCTCTACATATCTCAAATTGTATCTTAGAACTTTCAGTTCGCACTTTGCAACACCACTCCTTGGAAGAGAAAGTAATCCACCATGATGCGTGTTTACAAGTTCTATCTCGCCCTAGTGGCCATCCTTCTAGCCCTATGCATGGGCAACTCAATCATGGACTCTTCTTTGACCTCTCTACCGACTAGCCTAGCGATAACACGGTCTACACAGGCACCACGTCTACTGAAGTCAACAATGAACTCTACCACAGACATCCCACCAACGACCATGACTAGGCCTTCTTTACTACTATCAACGGTATCATCATCGTCATCATCTTCAACAGCAGGAACAACAACAACCTACTTCATCATCCTCCGCACCAGCAACACCACCCACCTTGACAACCTAGGCGCCAGCATCCTCAACGTGAACGGCACAACCAACCAAACCACCGCCATCTTCAACTGCCAAAGCATTAAACTCGGCAACTGTCTCATCACAGTGCCAGTATCAGCAACGAATGGCCCGTCAACTGCAGAACTCACTCTCACCAGCGTCGACTCAGTCACTCCCTTAACCGATCGTCTGAAGTTCACCACATCCCTGATGATCCAATATGCGATCCATACGTATGTGGTTCGATGCGACATTACAGCCTTCTTTAACGCCTCCTGCACAACTACCGATTATGCTTGGGAGTCCTCTGATGCCTTCACGTTTCCCTATACGTCTACCTATTTGAGGACGGTCTCGGCTCTGACCTATATGTCTATTCCCATTACAGCTGGGTTAGAGAAGTTGAGTAGATCGGTCGGTGTGTCTACGGCGGTTGCAGATCCCACTGCACCTGCCACAGAAGGAACAAGGCTGCATCCAGAGGAGCATTTCAAGAGCCCATTGGCGTGGATAGCGGCCCCCATCGTGCTTCTTGTTGTGGCGGGTGCTTTGATTGCTGGTGCTTTGTTTTGGCGCAAACGGAAGAGATCTGCTGATCAGCCAGCATCATCGGAGAGTGGGGAAGATACGGCCTGGGGTGTGTTTGGAAAGGCGGAGCTGCCGACTGTGGGGTGTGGTATTGTGGAGGCGCCGGGACATGAGCAGGAGTGGGTCGAGTTGGATGCTGTTGGGAATGAGATATCGGAGCTGCCGACGAATTGGAATGTTCCGGAGTTGTCGGCTACTTGGGAGGTGGCGGAGTTGCCTGGGTAGGGTGGATGGTATGATATGTGGTGGGTGTGGGATATGAGGGTGGGTATGGAGTCTTGGGGTTACAGGGTATCCAATGAGGTTGAGTGAAGATTCTGGACATGAATTGTGAGAGCATGGTGGGCAAGTTTATGTGTATTGACGCAGTAATGAGATTAGATACAGTTTGTCCCTGTATTACTCTTCATGTATCACTCTACCTATGCACCGGTCTGTCTTTGCTGATCGATAAGAATCGACAAAGGTCCAGTAGGAGCGTCCTCCCGGTCTAGCATTATCTCTACCATCCGCAGCTCCTTCCCATTGCTAACAACATCGTTTGAAAGAACATCCTGTAACTCCTTCCAAGTTTTAACTGATGCCGTAAAAGTATCTTCATTGGCTCCGAAGAAGCTGGGAGCCTGTAGGTACCTCCATCGCGATATATCGTTGTATCCCTGCTTCCGGCCATGGATGCAACGCTCAACTGTGTATCCGTCGTTGTTGACGAGGAAGACCACCACATTCAGCTTCAGTCGAATAATTGTACACATTTCCTGTGCAGTCATCTGGAAACTGCCGTCGCCGATGAAAAGGACTGTACGTGCATCTTTAATGCCGTGGTACTTGTCTGATGCCATCAGTTCTTCCTGCGCAAGGGCAGCTCCCTGTGCTGCTGGTAGCATGTATCCGATGGATAGCCAGGTCACGGGTGCGAAAAGACGGGTGTGCTTGGGAAACGCCATCTCACGGACACCGTACCCGGACGTGCCTGTTTCTCCAAATATGATGTCCCCTGGACGAAGGAAGTTTGCAAACACGCGCCACAGTTTATCCTGGGTGAGCGGTCTATCCCCTTCCACTTCGGAGAATGAAAGAAGTTCATCACGAGGCAGACTAGGGTATGGGTCATAGCGATGAATACGGTTGAGGTCGATGGTGTCGATAAGGCGAGACGTGATGATCTTGGCGGGAACGTCACGAACAATTTCCGTTCCAAACTTGACTTCCGCATCGGTGAACAGAATCGCAACTTCAGGCTTGGGAATGATCTGGTAGAAGTAGGAATTGGTGGAGCTGAAGTGTGGCCCGAAGCACAACACCAAGTCTGCTCCATTGTAGAAGTCTTGCGGTTCAGTGCGGTCGTAGGTGCCGCGGTAGATTCCATGAAAGTTTGGCCGTGTATCATCTACCAGGCCTTTTCCGAAATTGGTGGTCCAAGTCGGGAAGTTCGTGGCGTTGATGATTTTCTGGACCTCCTCCACAATTCCCATTGGTCTGATTTCCCCGTCGACGAGAATGACCGGCTGCTTTGCTGCATAAATACGTTCCAGTATACGCGCAACAACATCATCCTGGGTCTGTGAAGGAACGGGCTCGGGGGTGCTGACCGCGAGGGCGAGTCTTTCGTCTGAAACATACTGGTGCACCATATCCATTGGCACCTCGATATAGACCGGTCGGCTATGAAAGAGACACTGTCGCAATACCTCGTCAATCTGCGCAGGGGCGGTGCGTGGATCCCGCAAGCTGGCTTGGGCGACAGTCAAGTGTTCATATATCTTAGCGAAGCGCCCATATTCGCCATCATTGAAGGTATGGTGGACCAACTTCCGTCCCTCCTGCAAATCCCGGCTTGGTGTTCCTACGATGTGCACAACCGGGGCCCGTTCAGTGTAGGCTCCCGCGATCCCATTAACAGCAGATAGCTCGCCGACGCCAAACGTGGTGATTATAGCGCCAAGGCCTTTGATTCTGGCGTACCCGTCGGCGGCGTAGGCGGCGTTTAGCTCGTTCGCGTTACCGACCCATCGCAAACCGGCCGGCTCCACATAGTCGAGCAGAGTGAGGTTGAAATCACCGGGTACACCGTGGACGGAAGCTACGCCCAGGTCTTTGAGCCGGCGGAAGAGATATTCAGCGACTTTGATGGAAGGCATGTTGAAATCGTGGCAGATGGAGAAGAGCAAAGAGCTCCGTCAGGAACCGCGGTTCTTATCAACTTATCAAGGTTACCCCGCCCCGTGACCCTTTTCTCCGACTCGCCGACTCTCCGATACCCGGTCCGGTGGGAGCGCCGCTGCCCGCCAATAACCGCTCGATTCACTCCTCTTTGGATATTGTGTGACTATAATTAGCAGATGGGTATCGAGCGGGAGTTCTAGTGAGAAAGTATGGTGATTCAAGTAGCTTTGAGTGACTGTTACTACTGGTAAGTCCGTCCCAATTTTCCTTAGAATCCTATCACTAGTCCTAGATATATATTTCGTTCGGATTAACTAAGTAGTCTGACTGATCCAAACACAACAGTCTCTTCATCCAAGAGTGTAATATACTATCCCAAAAACAATTGCAATATTTACGGACATATACAATAACAATACCATTCCAAATAACTGGAGACGAATTAAGTAATGAGAATTGATGCCCAGGAATATGAAGTCATGTTAGCCCAAAACAGAAGTTCCACGCGGAGATCCTTATCAATGCCATTGATCAGATAAGAAACAGCATCCACAAAAAAGCCACGTGATGCCCTTAGCTGCTCATCATCACGTGGCACATGGTCCTGAAATTAATAAGACTAATTACCTCTCATAATAAGACTAGCGCAATTGTAATTATATTGTTAAGAATAGCGAAGTAATATGAGACCCATTACTTTAGTTATATACTACCATATCCTTTCATACTTGAAAGAAATATTATTATAATAAGGCAAAGAATCATTTACTTATATGACTTTACTACTTTCTAGATTAAAATGTAGCAGAAAAGTATGAATTTCTTTCCTAGAGCTTTTCTCGAATTTCTTGATCTCTTAACTTCTTTCCTGTGTATCGTTTTCTAGATATAATTTATTATATATATATATATATATATATATATCGTTCCCTACAACACTTGCACTCGTTTTTAATCAGACAAGATGGAATATGATTATAGTAACTAATATAAGGATATCCAATGAAGGATGATATTGTTATTCTACGGTCATTCTATCGTGAGTGTTTATATATCTGTGCTATGTATAGCTCCGCAGTTTGCGCCATCTATCCTAGAAAATCCTGAAAATATTGTCGAATCATTGTCAATCTTAAATTTGATATGCCAACAGCGAAAACTAGCCGAAAGACGTGCATACATATTTCAATGTCGTAGAAGAACTATGGGAAATATGGTCTGTCCTTAGTGTCGCAATATTAGGCCTCTTTGCCCCTCGTGCCAACAGCCAAGCCAAAGCGTTGAAGTGAGGAGCTGATGTCGCTGGGATCGATGCAGCACTCCAAGAAGGCAAGCTTCTGGGGTTCATGCTGAGCACGTTTTAGGGCTATTAATAAGTCTGTAGTGGTCTTGATCTGCGCTGAAAACATCGGAGGGTCTGAACAAGTTTCCGTGAGTTTGTGGTCGACGTATGGATTATCGTAGATGGCATGAAAAGTGCTGCAGAGGCTATTCGCCAATGAGGTATAATTCCAGTTCGAGTAATAATTGTATGGTCCATCATGAATTGCGGTCTAGAAATAGTAAGACAATCATTCCTTGTTATGAGTTTTTTTCACCTGGACTCACCTCTATTGCGTATCCTAGATTATTAAAAACGAAGATGATGGGATTGAGCCTAAGGCTGATCATGGTGCTCAATTCCTGGAACGTCATGCGCAAGCTACCGTCTCCGATCATCAATATGACTCGTTGATTTGGCCGGCCGAGTTGATAACCAAGAGTGGCGGGAAGGCTCCACCCGATTGAACCATACACCATCTGCATCTGATAATCGGCTCCCCAGGGCAACTTGATCATTTGCCCATTGAACCAGCTATCACCAGTATCAGCGATGACAGAATTTTCGGGTCCTATCACCTCTTGAATGCCACCGAGGATGGTGGACAGCGAGAGCTTTGAGGTATCTATAGTTGCTCGTTTGACTTTGACAGTTGGGATTATCCCGTTAGGTTGCACAGTACCTTTGTGTTGGATATCAGACTGGGCGATAAGTTTTATCAACTCATTGAGAGGTATATCTGTGAAACTATCATCACTTGGAATAGTGACAGATCCGTCCTGGAGGTCGAGGATACGATGCGATTCTTCTTGAATATCGAGACATCCCAAGGTATGGTAGTCGGTCCAACGACACCCAACCATAACCCATAAATCAGAATCCATAAAAACTTTCCGACTTTTGTGCTCGCTTGCACTAGACCAAAAAGTTCCCAAAAACTGAGGATGATCTTCAGGGACAAGAGACTTGCCATCTGGTTGGACCAGAACCGGGCAACCGAGTTTATCGATGAGGGAGACCAACACGTGAGGGAGAACAGTTTGGCGCACATGGGCCCCAACCAGTAAAATAGGCTGTTTCGCCCCGTTCCAGCAATTAACAACCGCGTCAACGGCATTCAGGGCGTGGTCCATCTCGAATAATTCAGGACCGTTGATGGGCAGAGGTCCAGGGGGTGGGCAAGGCACCTGGGCAACATCTGTAGGTATCTCGACGTACACCGGACGTGATGCGTTCAAACAGTTGATAATCGCACTATCGAGAGCCCCCGCAGGATTTTGCGAGCTTGAGAGACGTACCGACAGTGCCGTGACTTGGTCGAACATTCGCAAAGCTTGGTCTTTGTCATTTGTGCCTAGTGTATGATGGACCAGTTGCTTGTCTTCGAACGCTTTTTGCGGTGGACAGCCGGATATGACCACTACTCTCAGGCCTTCTGAGTATGCACCAGCAATGGCATTGATTAAAGAAAGACCTCCAACCATGAATGTTACGAATACAACTGCGACTTTACCGGGCGAAGTTCGAGCGTAGCCATCTGCAGCATATCCGGCGTTCAACTCTGTACAGCATCCGATCATGCGTATGGATCCATTTTTTAGTAACTCGTCAAGTAAGCCCAAGTTGAAGTCGCCTATTGACGTTAGCATGCGCCTCTGGCTTGGCCCCCTCTGACATACCAGGTACTGCAAAATAGTCTGTGACTCCCAGCTCCTCCAACCGGTAGGCTAGTCTGGTGCCCACAGTGAACTGTTCAGGACAGAATCGCGGTTCCAATTGTGCAGTTAGTCTGACAGGAGTAGATTGTACTTTATCGTCTGCGATTCGAAGAACGGCCCGTCCTTCCATTTCTCCTGAATAGAGTCAGCATATTCTCGCCTGAACGAACGGATTTCATACCAGTCTCCATACGCTCATACACCTTCGGCAGCTCGTGTACATCAAGAACTTTGTAAGGCGGAATAATTCCTGAACGACAGGCAATTTCCAGTGCTGCTTCTGTCTCGTGGCGATTACCCACGTAACTCCCTTTTATCGTGATATTTCGAAGGACCATCGTAAATATGTCTGCGTTCATGCAGCCTGGTGGCAATCCGACGGCAACAATAGTTCCCATGGGCTTAACATACTGTATTCGTTCTGGATTAGATCTTGCAGTAGAAGTCGCTATTGGAAATACGAACGTGAATAGCATCGTCAAATGGCTTTGTCGTTGAACTGACGACGATTACTGCGTTTGGCCCCCCTTCAGTAACTTCTTTGATCTCTTCGACTAAGTCTGATGAAGCTTTGTAGTCGACAAAGTAGTCGGCGCCCAGTTTCTCGACGCACATTCTCCTCTTGGATTCGCCTGCTGAAATTGCCAGAACGCGGTACCCGCATGCTTTTGCAAACTGGCACGCTAATGTACCAAGACCTCCACCTGCTCCTGCAATTGCTAGGAGAAGTCAGTATAAGCCATATTTTATCTCAAATAAAGACGTCCATACCGACTAATTCTCCTCGCTCGAGCCTGCACTCTTTGAGTGCTTTGTACACCGTGAGACCAGCGCACAATATCTTTGTAACCAAGTTAGATCGTCAACAGCAAGATGGTAAAGGAAGCATCTCTGTACTGGTACATACTGGAGCAGCTTGGTCGAGGGGCATGCCAGATGGTATGCGGACTGCGTTCTCTGCTTTGCACACACAATACTGCTGGAAGGTTCCGTCGACGGTATACCCAGAAAGCTGGATATGTGGACATAGTGGTTGGGAACCACGGGAGCAGAAGCCACAGACTTCGCAGGTCCTATTCACCCACTGTAGCAATTTGTGAGCATACGCCTACTGGGTAAATATCTTTGTTGCATTCACACCTGTATGCCGACTTTGTCACCGATGGAGATATCCCTGACATCCTTGCCAAGAGCCACGACTATGCCAACCCCCTCGTGGCCGCCTTTGGATGAGGTAAGCTATACATACAATCTGGATCAGATGAAACCATTCAATTAACTTACCAACGAGGTTATCCTTTGGCTTCACAGGCCAGTGTCCTAGAGCTTGTCAGCAATGTATTGCAGAACCAAAGAGACTACAGACCTTTCCACGCGTGAAAATCGGTATGACAAACACCTGAAAACAATATTTTGACCAATATCTCATCCACACGGTACTTGGGGACATCAATTGTGGCAAGCTCAAGTCCTAAACCGGTTTAGCTGAGCATCCTCCCAACGGTAGCTTCCCACTTACGTCCACCATGTGACTTGGGAATATATGCCCTTTGGGAGACCGGAATCTCCCAACCTTGTGGCGTTGCTGGCGACATCCTCATAGCCTCTTATGGCTTCCAGCCAATACTATGACTTCTGATTCCCTTGGACTTTCGGCGTTGTCGGCATTTATAACATCGGCCATATCTTGGCCAGGCATTTGAACGTCGACTTCAAATTAGAAACACCACTATTGTGGTATCCTCTTTTGGACAGGAGCATCGCTCCCCTTACTTCTTATCTGAAATGCATGTATAGAATAAACTTTACTGTATTTCTTTACTTTGTTTCGCGTGCTTCTGCTGTAAAGCGCGTGCCTTGATATCAGACAATGCTAAGGGTCCTATGATTGAGAATTGAAGTTGATATGCTCGAGTCAAGGCATATGAAAAGGGCA